TTCAAATAACATGTCAGTTTTGTAATTAAAAAAGATAAGGGTTATGGATTAGCCGCCCCAAGATGCTAATTATACCATGTACCTATTCACATCCATCAGAAACAGGCCCTCTGAAACCATTAGGTGTCGTTTCAGGGGCTTCGAAGAGCTCTGCTATACCATAGTCCTTAGTGTTAGGGCAGAAAAGAATTCAACCAGAGGCAGTGATAAGTGATTCATCAGAACAGGACCCTTGTGAAGCTTACAAACGGGTGGGCAAGAAATGTTAGGCCACAAGAACTTACTGGGCTACAGTTTAATAATCAGAGGAAAAGGGGGGAGGGGGAGAATAACTTTTTCTTGAGTAGACTTCATGCTTACATCGTCAGCTCCTCCAGGTTGAGCAGGGGAGTTTTCTTGTCTGCAAGGCCAAGCTAGGTCCACAAATTGTTTTTTATGTATGTAGAAAGCATATCCTAGGGATCATTAACTTACTGAGCTCACTGGGCAGTATGTAGGTCTCATGCCGCCCTTATATTATTGTTTTGGAGCATGTCTCATGCTTCTGGTGCATTGTTGCTAACAAGCTTTTTAGCATTTTGTTGCTAAGCAAACCTGCTTTCTTGAGTAACCGTTAACTTACAGGGGTTTCCCATATTTTTTCTACTTACAATCCCCCAGTGGGAATAACTATTTAATCACCTACCCTGTCCCTTTACTCTGGCCCTATCACTTCTGCTCCCCGGGGTGCAGCCTAGCAGGGCTGGGCTGGGTCAGGATGCTGAATGGGACACACAGCCAGTCACCAGGGGGAAAACACCCCCTCCACCCCTGTTCGCAGCCACGTCTGTGCTCCATTTCTCACTCTGCAGAGTCCCTTGTTTTGTCTGAACTACCAGCCTGAGTTTAGGGCTGGGACTACATGTGTTTTCTATCATCAGCACCTCCCCAGAGTTTCTGTTCAGTCGCTCAGTAGAGTGTCCAACTCTGCAACCCCATGAACTGCTGCACGCCAGGCCTCCCTGTCCATCACCAACTCCTGGAGTTTACTCAAACTCATGTCCACTGAGTAGGTGATGCCATCCCACCATCTCATCCTCTGTCATCCCCTTCTCCTCCCGCCTTCAATCTTTCCCAGCATCACGGTCTTTTTAGATGAGTCAGCTCTTCGCATCCCCGGAGTTTAGCATACTAAAAATATATTGGATAAACAGGTGAACAAATATGGATAGTCCTCATTTTCATCATTCCCTCCCCCAGTCTCTCCCTCCCTTAGAACCTAAAACTGAAAATTTTATGGTAATGCTTTGCAAACTTTAGTGTATATGTGACTTGATTTGAAATATAGATTGTTCTAATGGTTACTGTGTAAAACTAAACAGATTAGATTATGAGAGGACTTTTTTTTTTCCTATCAGAAGGAAAGGAAAAGGTGCTTCCTGAAGGTGTTACTGGCTTCCATAGAGAGGTTTTTTCAGAGTTTTGAGGCAGGGCCCTTCATGGGTGCTGCTCCTTCTGCTTTAAACCCAGGGCAGGGTGATGATCAAGGAAGGTATTGCTGGCCTCTCCTCCTCCCCAGAGACCAGCTCTGTGTAACCCAGGGTATTGGGAGGGCAATGTGGTCAAGCCACAAAGTAACAAGTTCTTGTTATAGGGTTGCTCAGAAAATGAGACTCCCATGTTCCCTAAAATACATACTACAGAGGGGTTACACAGTGATTGTTCCTAGAACAAATGAGGTGACTTCAACTTCCCATAAACAGCAGCAGGACATTTCAAAACAGGTTCATTCCCTATATAAGGATTTAATTCCCTCATAGACAAGTTTTACTAAGTTTCAAGTCACCACTTTCTGCTCACCATCTTCTATCCTCCAAACTCTTTTTACTTTCTATGCCTTCACTATTGTCTATTGTCTTTATTTACTTATCTACTCTGTGCCATGTATTCCCCAGGTTTTCATCCCTGAATTTTTTTTTTTTTTTTGCAGGGGTCATTCTAACTTGGATGTCTAATTATTAACTCTTATATCTTCACCTTCGCTCTACTTTCAACCCAGACTGGTTTTCATGATCTATTAAGACAATTTATCCTTTGTAAAAGCCCTCCAAAACTTGTCCTGATCTCCATTCACGTTGAATTCAAAGGGCAAAACCCAAATCCAAGCTGAACCCAACTTCCCTGAAAATTGGAAGCAACTAATCTAGCCATTGATATGATCCCTGGGTCGTATCTTCTCCCTCCCTGGCCCCCACTCTAGCCCCACTTGCAGCTGATAATCCTTCTCCACATCCTATGGGGAAAATAGAAGCCTAAATTAGTTTCCTGGGCTGCAATAACAAAGTACTGGGCTTAAGACAATAGAAATCTATTCTCCCACAGATCTGGAGGCTAGAAATCTGAAATCAAGACATCAGTAGGGTTGTGCTTCAAACCACAACCTCCAAAGAAGGTTTGGAGGCTCCAAGAAGAAGGCTCCACAAGGCTCCAAAGAATCCCTCCTTGCATCTTCCAAGCCTCTAATGACTGATGGCAATCTTTAGCATTCCTAGATTTGTACATGTCATTACAATCTCTGCTGCCATTGTTATCTTGTAAGCAGATAAGGTAGATCCCTGGGGAAAGAAAACCAAGCATGGCTTCCTTGACAGAAGAGAAGCCATTTTGGCTGAAGCCATTTTAGGCCTAAGCTATTTTGAGATCTAGTTCTGGCCACAATGCTTGCCCTTGAACAGGTCTCAGTAATAATGATCTTAAGGGAACAAAAGGACAAACTGTTAACAGGCAAGAGAAGTAACAACAGCAAAGATAACAAAGCAGTTGTAAAGACTCCCAGTTCTGTTTCAATGGTAAAGACTAGTCTGAAGCACTTTCTTGAGCTGTTCTGCAGAAGTTAACCACCCCTCAGGTGCTCAACCTGGAGAAGGAAATGGCAACCCACCCTGGTATTCTTACCTGAGAAATCCCATGGATAAAGGAGGCTGGTAGGCTACAATCCATGGGGTTGAAGAGTCAGACACGATTTAGCGACTAAGCAACAACAGGTGCTCAACCAGCAGATCAACTAGAAACTAAGGCCTGATGCTGTTGACCTTTTCTGAACCTCATGACTGCAATCAACTAAGGCTTGGGCTCTGTCAGTTTACCCCAATTCTATGCTGACTTCTGCTCAAGTCCTTTCATGAATATGCATGTACCTTTAGCTTAAACCTTCCCCAGTTCTGCTGTTTGGGGAGACACTGCCTTGGGAAAGATCACCAGTGTTCTTACTTGCTGCAGGTAATAAGTCCTTTCTCCTGATAGATCTTTGGCTTGGTTGTGTCTTTTGGCTCAACACCCGATAAGGGGCAAACCAAGCTTTCGGATAACAAAATCACCTTTACTCTTTAAAAAAAAATGTTATTTTATTGTCAAACTGTACTAAAACTACAATTAAAATTTAAAAGTTCAGTAAATCCCCTGGTGATTCAGTGGTTAGGACTCAGCACTTTCACTTTGGGGGCCCAAGTTCAATCCCTGATCAGCAAACTAAGAACCTGCAAGCCCCATAGCATGGCCAAAAATAAACAAAACTGAACTTAAAATAAAATTTTATTAAAAAATACACAACGACAATTTTTTAAGTAGTTAAAATCCAGGAGAAAAATTGCTCCTCACCCCATCCCCTAATTCATTTTCATCTGTCCGTGTTACTATCTACTCTTCATCCATACACTTAATAGATCTTTGGTAGCTTAACAGCACTTAATAGCACTTTGGTAGTAATATTAAAACAAGAATTTTATGTTCATTTTAAGTTAACAGAATATGGTAAGTATTTTTCCCCCCACAATCTTTCTGCCCTTCAACTTTCTTTCTCACTTTTCTAACACCACCTACTGCATACTTCCTACAATATCAGTGCCCACAGCCCTGGTCCTGCCTCAGCTTTCTCTGCTCGTTCAAAAATATTCCACCACATTCATACCCACACACACATGGGATTCGCTTCTTGCTACCGATTTGGACATTTTTATACAGCTTTCTTTTTTCACTTCACATCATAGATGTCTTTCCAGGTCAATAGGCAGAGATTTAATGCACGCTGGTTAGAGCTGTCTCCCAGTCTGGATAACGATCAACCGCGTTGCTCCCATCACCCTACTTCCTCCACACAAATGCTTCTGTACGTACCTTATCTACCGTTCCTTTTACTTCTAGAAGATTCTCAGAAAGATGGCTAGGTCAAAGATCACGCACATTAAACACTGTAGTAACTGTTCCGGGATTACTTTCCCAAAGGGCTCTGTCTAACACGTCACATGTCAGTCAGCCACGCTCGTGAGGTGTTCCTGTGCCCCCATGGCCTTTAATACAGTGCATTCAGCAGGCGCGGGGAGAAATGGCTTTTCGTTTGAAAAGAAGGGATTTTTACGTTTAAAACAAGGGATTCACAGCCTGCGCAGAGGAGAAAAACTGAGGCCGGCTTCGCGACTCTGTGTGATTGCTTCCACCTGAGGCGGTCCCAGCCCCTCTTCCCGGTTTCCCTCAACATCTAGCGTTTGACTCGCGCGACGCCGCCTAGCGGTTCGCAAGTGCGCGTCCCAGGCCGCTCCTCCCAGCGCCCGGCGCAAAGGTGCGCGGTCCGCCTGCCGCACTATTTCCCGACGCCCGGACTCAAAAGCGGGCGGCGCGCGCCCCTGGGAGGCCCCACCCCCCTCGTCCCGGCGAAGGCGCTACCAGAACGCCAAGCGCGACCCCTCGGCTGGGTCGACTCTTCCTGTCAGCACTCTGAGGGGACTCTTCGGCGAGTCCCCCGGGCGCTGAAGAAGCTCCTGTGGGCTTCCGACGGGGCGGGCGCGCACAGCTGAGGGGCCCGGTGCCGGAAGGCGCCGAGCTTCGCTCAGCGGAGAGCCGGAGGCGTGGCGAGGCCGCCGGGTTCTGTTTTCCCCCGGCCCGGGGGAGCTTTCAGTTTCGTTTTCGGCCGCAGTCTCCTCCCCGCGGGAGCCGCCTGCGCCCCTTCAGTCGCGGGCCCGACGACCATGGCGCCGGCCGCCCTCCTCCGTGAGGTGACCCAGGTGCTGTGCGCGGCCGGGGGCGCCTTGGAGCTGGAGGAGCTATGGCGCCGCGTGCGGCCGGGCGTCGGCGGCGATGTGCTGGACCGGCTGCTGCGGGAGCGCGGGCGCTTCGTGGTGGCGCGGCGGGCGGCCGGGGCGGGCGCGGCGGCCGTCGAGCGCGTGGTGCTGGCCGTGTCGCCTCTGCGGCTCTGCGGCGCCCATCTGGGCGCGAAGCCGGGCTGCTCGGGGCTGTGCTCGCAGCTGCACCTCTGCAAGTTCTTGTTCTACGGCAAGTGCAAGTTCCTCAGGGACGGGTAAGGCGCCGCGCCGGGAGCTCGACGGCGGGGAGGGCGTCTTCTTCGCTCCCCGCCCTAAGTCAATTTGGGGAAGAGACTATGAGGTGGCTGTTCCTTGGCTTGTTCCCCCCTTCCTTCTCCTTCCTCTTCAGCGAACGTTTATTGAGCGCTTTCTGAATACGTGGAATTGGGCGTGGGGCTCCGCGTCGAGCGGTGGCCTGGGGGAGGGACCGAGAGCCCAGCACGGGGAGGGACAGCCTGGGAATGGCCGAACCGGGCTGGGGGTGGGCCCGCGGCCCCGGGTGCCGAGAGCCCGCTTTGAGGGCCGCTCAGCTCTCTCTGCCTCGCCACAGAAGGCATCTTTTGAAACCCTCTCTTCACCTGCTGACTAGACGCCGGCGGCTTCCGTTGTATTTGGAATACAATGCAAGCTTCTAACCCTGGCCCGCAGTGCCCCTGAGGGCACGGAACGGGTCCCCGCCGGCCCTCCATCCTGGGCGCCTCAGGGTGCCCTTCCGGTCCGGGCACAGCTCCAGCCTTTGCTCATCGGGTGACCTCTGCTCTCCTGGACCGCCTTCCCTAGTTTGCCTGGGTATCCTTCAGGACTCGACTCAGGCATCTCTTTCATTTGGAGCCCTTTTCTTCTCCATCACGTTCTGTTTACTTTTCTCATAGCGCCTATCATGGCCTCCCCACTGTTTCAGTAGAATGTAAACTCAGGAGAACAGAGACCCCCTCCGTCTTCGTCCTGGCTGGCCTCTCCCGGCCCTCAGCTCTGTGCTCTGCACCTAGCAGGTGCTCAGATTGGTGGAGTAGATTCCTGAGGTAAATGCTAAAGAATTTGGACCTCACCCTGAAGGTAATGGGGGCCAGTCAAGTAGCAGGAGAGGGCAGCCATCAGGTGTGCATTGTAGGAAGCTAGCTTCGATAGTGGTACGCATGCTCATTTAGAGGAGGATATGATGATTCCGTTTGGAAGCTAGTCCAGTCATCTGGAAGAATTTTAGTTATTTTTCTTTTTTTCTACCGCAACAGGGTCACCTTATTTTGTGCTCACATCAGGTCTAATTGTGATATTTAACAGCGTGAAGTACGGACCTTGATTCATATAGTCGTTTAGGGACCCGGGCTGGCAGACCTAGACTCTGTTCTCTTCAACCCATGACTCTTAAGGCCATCTGGGTATCAGGTTCCAAGGAGCAGGTAGAGAAGATGGATAGTAGAGGGCTAGTTGGAGATGTTTATGGGCCAGTTCTGGAATGGTAGCTATTTTTCTGTCCACGACCCAAGCACCACAGGATGTCTCTACCTGGATGCAGAGGGAGTTGGAAAATGTCCCTGAGAAACAGCTGTCCAGAAATCCTTAGATTCGATTATTTCAAGACCCAGATAAGGCCTTGTGAGGAACAGATGTATGTGTGAGAAATTTGGGAGAGTTGGTAAGAGGAGGGTGACAGGATTTGAGAGTTGATCACTCATTTTTCTTTATTATCGTTCACTCGGAGATGACTTCTTTCTTACTATTGACAGAGAGAGGGAGCGGGTTTTGTTTTGAAGGTCTGAAACTTGGGAGGATTGCTAGGACGCTGAGATGCAGGTTTTGGGAGTTTGGGGGCAGCGTTTACTGTGGCTGCAGCAGCAAGAGTGGGTCTGATCTGAGGTGGAAGCTGAGGGTGGAGCACCAGGGCAATTGAGCCTTCAGAGGCAGCATCTCAGGGTGGAAGGAGGAGCAGCATGCAGAGAGGAAGGTAGATACAGTAGGTGGTAGATGGAGGGATCTAATGACAGAGATCACTAGTGGGTCTTGTTAATGTCTATAGTTGGTAAAATAAAGATAGCAGACCTGCTATCTTTAGATAGGCTAATTCCCAAAATTGGGGTTAGATTTTGTCTTGGAAATCTAGTATTTATTGGCCTGGATGATCCTGAGTTCTCTCTTTTTTTTTTTTTTCTGTCTTCTTGTGGTTTACACAGGACAGTCCCTTGAACCTTCCTTCTTTGACTGTTTCCGGATTACATAAGGGAGAGTGGGTGTGGTCAGCTGCATGTTCTGTGCTTTCCCTGCGAAGCTATCTGTCCTCAACTGCAGAATCAGCTGTCGCAGACATAGATCATCACTGCTGCTTTTGTTGGTGACCTCTGAACAGGGTCCTAGGTCCCTGATTCCATCCTTTGCTTAGGGGACAGTGAGCAAGTGGTCAAGAACCCAGCCCCAAGACAAGTCTGCCTTGGCTCTGCTCCTTGCCAGCTGAGTGATCTTGGACAAAGTAGTTTTTATCTGAGCCTCAGTTCTCTTATCTCCAAAATGGGATGGTGTTACCAACCTTATAGGCTTGTTGAGGACACTATGAGTTAATTCACAAAACATTTAGGCAAACCCTGGTTTGTGGTAGATGCCCTTTTAGTAGCCATCATCATCATCATGATCATTGTAATTATGAAGCCCGTCTGCCTAGAATGGGACTTCCCTGGTGCCTCAGATCTTAAAGAATCTGCCTGCAGTGCAGGAGACCTGGGTTCGACCCCTGGGTCAGGAAGATACCCTGGAGAAAGGAATGGCTACCCACTCCAGTATTCTTGCCTGGAGAATTCCATAGACAGAGGAGCCTAGCAGGCTGCAGTCCATGGGATCACAAAGAGTCAGACACTACTGAGCGACTAACACTTTCACTTTTCTGCCTAGAATGGTCTTTCCTGCTCTCCATGCCTGGCTCCTCAATCCTTAGTGTCAGGCTCAGACTTTATACCATTCAGGCACCCTCCCTGATTGCTTCTCCACTCCTGTCAGGCTCAGGTGCCACTCTGTGTGATGATGGATCCTGATTACAGCTGACCTTGCGCTTCCCACCTTTTAGAGTCATCTCAATGTCTTGTGTATCCACTAGAGAGGAGGGGGGTTGGATGGCTGCATGGTTTTTGGCCTGTGCAGTGGAAGAGGGAAGTTGCTCTTTATTGTGTTGGGGGAGCCCAGGGGAAGTACGGGTTTGGGGAGTAGGTCAGTGGTTCAGTTTTCTTTTGAGATGTTTATCATAGGTATAGCAGTGTCTGAGTCAGGCAGATGTGATTTACCTGATTCTGCTGGGTTCTGTTGACCCAGGTGATCATTTGAAGGCTTATCTTTGGATCTTTGGGGCATAGTGCCAGTTCTTGGCTCACAGTGAGTTTTCAAGAAGCAATTGTTGATCAAAAGAATGGAAGAAGGGAGCAGAAAAAAGGGCTGGGCCTCAGTGGTGTGTTTGTGTGTGTATGTGTTTGTGTACACACCTGTAGTCATAAGCCATCCACACTCATTTATTCCGCCAATGTTAAATGCCAGTAAGTGCTCAGTGACTGCCACACTGACTGACTGGGGAATGGCCCTGTAAGTCTCAATAAATACCTGCTGAGAGGTGCTTCCCTGGGCCTAGAACTCACAAGGCACCATCTCTTCCTTTGCAAATGAGCACTATGATTTTTCATGGACATGCAGGTTTTCTCTGATGCTTCTAAACAATGTCAGGAACTGTTCCTGAAAAATTATCTTAAGGATTGATTTTACCAGTCGTTTCAGTTTGCTCAGGCTGCCGTTAATAAGGTTCCACAGACAGGGTAGCTTAAGAAACTTATTTTTTCACAGTTCTGGAGGCTTGAACTGTCAAGGTGTCAACATATTCTGAGGCATCTTTCCTTGGCTTGTAGATGCCATTTTCTCCTTGTATCTTCACATTGTCTTCCCTCTGTGTCCTAATCCCCCCACCTTTTTTAATAAAGATACCAGCCAGATTGGATTAGCCCGCCCCTCGAGCCCCCCACCCCCCTCAGTGACTTCATTTTTTTTTTTTTTAACTTAATCACTGTTTTGAAAGACTCCCAACTATTTCTGAAGTACTGGGGGTTAAGACTTCAGCATAAGAGTTTGGGGGGAGACATTTCAGCTGTGACCCTAGCCCTGTTTCTTTGCAGGAAGGAATGTAGGAACGGTCACAACTTGATGTCCAATCACAACGTGAGCGTGCTGAAAACACATGGCGTGGACCACCTCAACTACGGTGAGCTCTGCATGCTCCTGTTTCAGAACGACCCCTTGCTCTTGCCAGAGGTGAGTGCCAGGAGGGGTGGGCCTGAGGGTAAGTGATGAGGAAGAGGCCAGGAGGTTGGAAGACAGGGAAACACTATGGCAGAAGAGACGCCAGGGGCCCCACAGTGATCACTGAGGTCTGTCTGTCGGGAGCCTTGGACTGGATTCCCGGCTCTGCTGATTTTTAGACTTGTGACCTTGCAACAACCTTGCCACTTCTTGAAGCGTCCTTTCCTTCTATGTCAGTTGGGCTGCTACTTCCTTTGCAGGGCTTCTGTGAGGTTGGGGGAGCTTGTTTGGCCAATGATTGCAGCCAGTTGTTACACAGAGCTTAGGGGGTTTTGGGATTCCAGCCAGCCCCTCCCTGTCTAGCTGGACTTAGAAAAAAAATGCAGGTACCACTGGGCTTTGGAGGTCTGTGGGGAAGTTTTCTAACTTGGGTCATTGTGAATTCTCATACTGCACTTCAGACAGAGACCACTTGTTTTGAAGCTCCCTGCAGTGGTCGTGGACGAGTTCGAGTCCTAAGAGAAGTGGACACCAAGACGGGATTGGAAGTGGGAGACATTGATTTCAGGGGAGCAGAGGAAGGTGGGGGAGCCTCCATGTGGTGATGGTGCCCTGAAATCTGTGGCAGGAGAGGGGAAGGAAAGGAGACTGGGTCAGAAAGAACCCTGACTGCGCGCAGTTCCCCAAAAGCTTCTGCCCAGCCTGCACAAAGTTCTCAGCTGAAGTCCCTGTTGGCGACATCTGTGTCTCCCCAGAACGGCCTGCCTCTGAGGGCAGGACCTCTGTGTGCGGAGGGCAGCAGCCAGGCCGAGTGTTGGCTGTGCTCTGCGGCAGATCTGAGCGGTCATTCTCTGGCCAGCATGGGTTCTTTGGGCTGTTCTGGCCCTGCTTCTTGGATGAGGTGACAGCGATGAGATGGATATATTTTAATGACATTTAATAACATAAAACATTTATATTTTAATGAATTATTATTCAGTTGAAATCACTTACTTGAGAAAGATGCTGTAGAGCAAATGACTGGCACATAATAGGTATTAACTGGTTTTCTTTGCCTTTTGAAAGTTAGTATCAATTTAATTCAGTTAACCTTTATTGGGTATCCACTACAGGTGAGGCACTGGCATTAAGGAGATGAGAAACCCCTTCAGCTCTTCCAGGCAGGGCACAGCTACTGGGTGGGACAAGTTGGCGGTTGATAGCACGGTGCTGTTGGTTGTCAGTGCTTTAGTGGGATTGTCAGTGCTTTAGTTGGAGTTGGTGCTCTGGTCTCAGGGGCACAGTTTGGGCACCAGGGAAGGAGTCCTGGAGCAGATAGTGGTTGCTCTGGGTGCTGGAGGATGAGTGGAGGATAAAGATCTAGGAAGAGGGAGGCAGAGAGCCTGCCTGGTCAGGGCACAATGTGTACGTCAGCATGACCTGGATTTAGGGTGGGAGGGAGAGAGAGAGAGAACTGGGTGGGTGGAGGCTCATTTGCACAGCCTCCTGTGTCACAGGAGGAAGTTGGAGCGAGGTTGTGTTGGGAGGGTAGGCATTAACTTTTTGGAGCAATCACCTTGTTAGTGGTGTGAGTAGTGAATCAGCAGGTAATCCGTCTGGAATGTGCAGTCTGTCTCCTGGGCTGTGTGAGGTGGTTCAGGACACAGTGCTAGCACACGGGCTGTGGCTATCTCGGATCCGGTGCGGCTTTCCTTCAGGACTGCTGCTCTCAGGCTAGTCCCCTCATCATCAGGTGACCGTTGAGGGGCCGCCCCCATGAACTGAGCACCCACTGGTTCTAGTCACTTGTATATTTTTCATTTAATTCTCACAATAGCCCAGCTTTGTAGGTAACATTAGTCCCATTTAGGGGATTAAGAAATGGAATCTCAGAGCTGGTGAGTGGCCTGCTCAAGGTCGGGCAGCTTGTAAGTGTCAGCATCAAGGTTAGGGTTCAGCTGTTGCTGATCTTCTCCCTGGAGCTTCCATCCCCAGAAGGTGGTCCCTGATGATCTACGTCTGGGTTCTGCAGCCCTCTGTTTGATATAATGCCTGTGAGTTGAGTGGGTGGGTCCATGGTGGTCTCTGGCTTGGTTCCCAGTTCCAGGAATGTGGAATGTAGAGGAGAAGGAACAACTGATTGAAATTCAAGCCCCACCTTACCAACAACCCAGTTCAGCAGACACCACCTGTGCCAGGTGTACTAAATAGCTGTGTGACTTAGAGCAAGCCTGTTAACTTCACTGAGTCTCATTTTGAAAGGGCTGTATTTGGCCTTCTTGAAACCCTCAGAGCCTTCTTTGACCTTGAATTGGAGAAAAAAAAGTTGGGAGAAGCTGGGTCCTGGATTAGAGGGAGTTGGTGAATCAGTGGGGGGGGTGGGGGTGCAGTTGGTAGAATGCAGGGATTGTTAGGATGCTCCTGTGTGAGTTACATTAAAATGTTGTCTCATGAAGGGAGCAACTCTGATCAGCTGGAGGTTTTGTTTTGTTTTTTCCAGCCAGAGAAGCCTGCTCTGGGCAGTCTGCTGTCCTCCTGGTTCCCATTTACCAAGGGCATGTGCTAGCAGTTGTCCATCTAGAGTGAGGGATGTTCTCAGAGCTGAGGGGGTCACAGCCTTGGCTAGGTCTCTGGAGGAGCATCAATTAACCAGAGACTGCTCAGTAAGGAGGTAGCGTCATGTGAGGCCTTTCTAAGCTGCTGTATTTTTTCCTTCTTCGTTAACAGATCTGCCTTCATTACAACAAAGGAGATGGACCATACGGCTCTTGTTCCTTTAAAAAGCACTGTATCAAGCTCCATGTCTGCCAGTATTTTTCGCAGGGTGAATGCAAGTTTGGCACTGGCTGTAAGAGATCCCATGACTTTTCTAATTCTGAGAACCTGGAAAAACTGGAGAAGTTGGGCATGAGGCCGGAGCTGGTGAGCAAGCTGCCTTCCATTTACAGAAATGCTCATGACATCAAGAGTAAGAGCTCTGCTTCCATCCGGGTGCCACCTCCACCCTCGAAGTCACAGGGGACTTCCGGTAAGGCTCTGGGCTGGGGCTCCTGGATTCCAGCTGGCTGCCAAATGGAATGTGTGACTTTGGGCAAGTCTGTGCTGCTCCGAGAAAAAGGGGGTTGGCCACCCCTTTCCAGCCAGTGGAAGCTGTGAAGATGAATTGAAATCAGAGCTGTGAACAAACAAGACATTCTAAACAAATTTGGGTTGGTGTGGATGGTGGGTGAATTCCCTCTCGGCCTGAGATCTGCATGGAGATGAGCAATGCTGCTTCTCCCTATCCAGTCTTCCCTCTTCCACCCTGAAGAGCTTGTTTTCCTGTGAAGGACCCCACAGTTAAGAATGCCGTGCTCTACAATTCTGGGGTCATCCTTTGCATTATGTTCTAGATCTATTAAATTTTTTTTTTTTTAATGAGTGCATGAGGCACATTTTATCTATTTTTTTTTATTTTGGCTCTGTTTTGACATGAACGGAATTTTTATTCATCATTGCAAATTTACTTTGTTCAGTGCTCATCTCTAAGTGGTACCTGCTGGGCCACAGTTGGCACTGACTTTTGTTGAATGATGAACCTGCCAGGATACTTTTTATTTTTTGAGGAATGTCATGCTTAGCGACAGGCATATGGGGGAATTTTAAGCAGAGATTGTTTCTTTAGTAAGCATTTCTTTTTTTGTATAAAGCTTGTGACTAGACTGTGTCGGGTCTTAGTTGTGGCACATGGGATCTTCATTGCATCACACAGGATCTTTTGTCACAGAGCACAGACTCTCTAATTGCCTTGCATGGGCTTAGTTGCTCTGTTGCACTTGGACTATTAGTTCCCTGACCAGAGATCAAACTCCTGTCCCCTGCATTGCAAGGTGGATTCTTAACCACTGGACCACCAGGGAAGTCCCAGTAAGCCTTTCTTGAGTACCTGTTAAAGTGTGGGAAGTGAATACCTTGGTTCAATACCAGGGAGGCTACAATGCCTTGGTGTCCTGTGACTTTCATACTATCTGCTGCTGGCTGGCCATCCTGATAATCCATTTTCTCATTCAACAAATTTGAGTCCTTGCCGTGTACTGGCCAGTGTCCTGGGCCTTGGTTCTACCTTGGTGTCTCTGAGACACGGCTCCCCCAGCTTGTTAGCTGTACTGATAATCTAGGGTTTTTAATAGACCACTTCCTAAATTATTAATGCCAGGATGACTAGCAAACTAACTTAGCACTCTAAACTTACCTGAGATTTATATTTGAAAGGTGTCCTCACTGTATGTTTCCTTTACATTTTCTTCAATTACTTTTGGCTAGTTTCTTCTAACAGTAGGAAGCCTAGAAGCAAACAATTTTGCTTTAATAGATTGTTAAGAGTGTCAGTTGGATTATGGCCTTGTTAGAAAGGCAGGGAAGGATACCTGCCCCTGGAGGGAGAGGGAGGCAACCTCTGAAGCACCACAGGTGTGAGTTTTAAGGTCCAGCCTGTGGGTGTCTGCTGCTGCTGCTAAGTCGCTTTCAGTTCAGTTCAGTCGCTCAGTTGTGTCCGACTCTTTGTGACCCCATGAATTGCAGCACACCAGGCCTCCCTGTCCATCACCAACTCCCGGAGTTTACTCAAACTCATGTCCATCGAGTCGGTGATGCCATCCAGCCATCTCATCCTCTGTCGTCCCTTCTCCTCCTGCCCCCAATCCCTCCCAGCATCAGGGTCTTTTCTAATGAGTCAACTCTTCACATGAGGTGGCCAAAGTATTGGAGTTTCAGCTTCAGCATCAGTCCTTCCAATGAACACCCAGGACTGATCTCCTTTAGGATGGACTGGTTGGATCTCCTTGCAGTCCAAGGGACTCTCAAGAGCCTTCTCCAACACCACAGTTCAAAAGCATCAATTTTTCGGTGCTCAGCTTTCTTCACAGTCCAACTCTCACATCCATACTTGACCACTGGAAAAACCATAGCCTTGACTAGACGGACCTTTGTTGGCAAAGTAAAGTCTCTGCTTTTTAATATGCTATCTAGGTTGGTCATAACTTTCCTTCCAAGGAGTAATCGTCTTTTAATTTCATGGCTGCAGTCACCATTTGCAGTGATTTTGGAGCCCCCCAAAATAAAGTCTGACACTGTTTCCACTGTTTCCCCATCTATTTCCCATGAAGTGATGGGACCAGATGCCATGATCTTAGTTTTCTGAATGTTAAGCTTTAAGCCAACTTTTTCACTCTCCTCTTTCACGTTCATCAAGAGGCTTTTAAGTTCCTCTTCACTTTCTGCCATAAGGGTGGTGTCATCTGCATATCTGAGGTTATTGCTCTTTCTCCTGGCAATCTTGATTTCAGCTTGTGCTTCTTCCAGCCCAGCATTTCTCATGATGTACTCTGCATATGAGTTAAAGAAGCAGGGTGACAACATACAGCCTTGACGTACTCCTTTTCCTATTTGGAACCAGTCTGTTGTTTCATATCCAGTTCTAACTGTTGCTTCCTGACCTGCATACAGGTTTCTCAAGAGGCATGTCAGGTGGTTTGGTAGTTCCATCTCTTTCAGAATTTTCCACAGTTTGTTGTGATGTACACAGTCAAAGGTTTTGGCATAGTCAATAAAGTAGAAATAGATGTTTTTCTGGAACTCTCTTGCTTTTCCTTTTTTTTTTTAAATCTCTTGCTTTTCCGATGATCCAGCAGATGTTGGCAATTTGATCTCTGGTTCCTCTGCCTTTTCTAAAACCAGCTTGAACATCTGGAAGTTCACGGTTCACGTATTGCTGAAGCCTGGCTTGGAGAATTTTGAGCGTTACTTTCCTAGCATGTGAGATGAATGCAATTGTGTGGTAGTTTGAGCATGCTTTGGAATTGCCTTTCTCTGGGATTGGAATGAAAACGGACCTTTTCCAGTCCTGTGGCCACTGCTGAGTTTTCCAGATTTGCTGGCTAAGTCGCTTTAGTCGTGTCCAACTCTGTGCTACCCCGTAGATGGCAGCCTACCAGGCTCCCCCGTCCCTGGAATTCTCCAGGCAAAAACACTGGAGTGGGTTGCCATTTCCTTCTCCAGTGCATGAAAGTGAAAAGTGAAAGTGAAGTCGCTCAGTCGTGTCTGACTCTTCGACTCCATGGACTGCAGCCTACCAGGGATTTTCCAGGCAAGAGTACTGGAGTGGGGTGCCATTGCCTTCTCCGGTGGATGTCTGAGGGGCCTGGAAAACAAAAAGGGAAGATGAATAACAAAATGACAGGTGATGCTAAATAGGGAGCGTTTGTTTATGAGTTTTATAGGCTTACATGGTGGCAGTTGGGGCATGCCCAAGTGTAATTATTAGGTAATGGCTCATTGAAGCACTTCTAGTAAAGGTAGACTTTGAAAGCATGTCCATCCTCCTGTTACATTAAAATCTGTCTGTGTGTGTGTGCATTCTCAGTTGTTCAGTTGTGTCTGACTTTTTGTGACCCCATGAACTGGAGCCTGCTGGTCTCCTGTGTCCTTGGAATTTTATAGGCAAGGATATTGGAGTGGGTTGCCATTTCCTACCCCAGGGGACTTCCCATCCCAGGGATCAAACTGGCGTCTCTTGTGTCTCCTTGCAATGGCAGGTGGATTCTTTACCATTATGCCACCTGGGAAATTCTTATAATTAACCTCAATTAGGTTTCATTTTTGAATTGTAGGCTTTCCATTAATTATTTTTTCTTGGTATTGGAACCCAATTCTCATAGTTCATTTGCTTTTGGAATCAAATCTAGTTTATAAAATGCAGCCTTCACTTGCTCTCTGGGGTAATCACAGCCGTAGATACAGAAGGAAAATGTGTTGGTTAGTGGTTCCCCAACCCTCCCCATTAAAGTGTCCCAGGTTCCACTGTTGAAAGCTTCTGATTGAGACAGTCTGAGGGAGAGCTGGGTACTTCTGTTTATAAACAGGTCTCCTAGTGAATTGGATGCACAGCCAGAGCTGAGAAAAAGCTCACCCCCAACCATGATATCCTGGATTTGGCAGCAGTTATATGGCCTTGAGCTCCTGGATTCCTCCCTAAAAGGCAGAGAGGGTCCACCTGTATGTCTGAGGGTGCTTTCATCTAGAACATTATAAGATTTTGTGAGGTTGCCTTGCCCACTTTTGCCTCATGCAGAGGAATGAATGAATTCTGTTCTCTCTTCTTTGTACCTTGAAGTACTCCAACCCCATATCAGAAGCACTGGTGACATATCTTTGTGGTCTTTTTTTGTAGAAAGAAGAGACACAGGTCCTGTGTCCCTAAACACTGCCACCCAAGAGGAGAGTGATCAGATCTGCTTGTTCCATATCTGGAAGAGCTGTAGCTTTCAAGGTGAGTCAGGGGAAACCCCTTCGTCCACTTGCAGGCGGGACAGCTGCTCCTGGTTCCCAGAGCTCTGCTCTAACGTCACCCCTCAAGGTCCTCTCCCCCATCCAGAGAGGTTCAGGCATTCTTAACTGCAAGCTGGTGGCACTTCAGTAATTTTGTTGGGGAGTTGAGAGTGGTAACAATTACTGAATACTTGAGTTTCTAAAAATCAAACTGTAGGTGAGTTTGGGGGACTGTTTCATGCAACAGATGAATGTCAGGTGTTGCCCCTTGGTTAGCTTAGTGTGAGGTCACAAACCCACAGAAACACTCGGATGCCCAGTCTAGTTCCCTTCTAGAAGGAGATTGTAGTCTCAGAGATGCCTCAGAACTTAGGAACACCCTCTTCTCAGGAGGCGACCCATGTGTGCACTCTTGGGGGATGAGAATTTAAGTTCGGAGTTTCTCTCAATACTCTGTTTTTTATCAGATGTAGCAAATGTTTTGTGTGTATGTGTGTGTCTGTGACTGCATTTTTACTAAATCTGTGTTCTTGCTGCTATCCTGGGCTTTGACTAAAGAATGATTCCTTCTCAAATTTGGTGACTCTTCTTGAAAAAAACCAAACACCCAAACTTCCTGTTTTGTTTTCAGTCTTTAAAAAGCTACCCAAGCAATTCATGAATACTTTCACTTTGTAAATGAGTGAAATGGTACAGAGTAAAGACTGAAGTCTTCCTTCAGCCTTCCAAAGGTAAACATGGGACTCCGGTCATATTTGTTTTACATATATTTCAACAGATGGGAACATGTGGTACGCATAATTTAACCTACTTCTTTTACCTAATGGTGTGTCTTGGTGATTTTTTCTATGTTAGTACATATGTGTATGTCTACCTGGATTTTAAAAACAACTGTGTAGTGTTTAATTAGATTGATTATTTCTTGAACATCTGAGTATACATGTGTATTACCATGGATAGATTCCTGGAAATGGAATACTAGGTCAGGCAATGTGTGAGATACACACACACACACACACGTGTGTGTGTGTGTGTATGTATATATATATGTTTTAAAAAATCAGCATTATTAGATATAACTAATACAAAATAAAATGTACCCTTTGAGTTTTGGTGAATATGTTTGCCCATATAACTATCACTATAATCTGGATGTGAAACAGTTCTCTCATTCCAAAAATTGCTCTTATGCCCCCATTCAGTTGATCCTCACCACCCAGTTTCCTGACCCAAGGCAATCCCTGGTCTACTTTTTGTTGATGGAGACTAGATTTGCCTTTTCCAGAATTTTAAATAAATGTAATCATGTATTTTGTTGCATTGATTAACTACAATTTATTTATACATATATACATTAATGAACATTTGGGTTATTTCCAGTTTGGGGCTTTTATGAATAAAACCTCTATGTCAGTTTTCATGTACAAGTTTTCATGTGGGTATATGTCTTCATCTCTTGGGTAAAGACTTCAAAGTGAAATATCTGATCATATGATAAACATGTATTTAACATTACAAGTTACTGCCAAACTGTCTTCCAAAGTGGATCCATTTTGCTTTCCCACCAGCAGTGTAGTAGAGTTTTGGTTGCTCTGCATCATTGTCATCACTTGGTATTGTCAGTCCTGTAAATTTTAGCCATCCTAGTAAATGAGTACTAATATTCATTGTGACTTTCATTTGTATTTCCCTGATAAGTAATGATGTTTAACATTTATTTTCATGTGTCTTTTGGCTGTTTGTGTATCTTCTGTGAAGTATCTGTTTAAATCTTTTGCCTATTTTGCAGGCATATAACAGCTTTGTTAAGATATTAAGTATATTTCACATAGTATACAATTTATTTAATGGTTTTTAACATAGTCAGATTTGTACAACCACCATCACAGTCAATATTAGAACATTTTCATCACCCACAAAGAAACCCATTAGCAGTCACTGCCCCTTCTCCCCTCCCCCAGGCTCCTGGTAACTACATCTTTACATTATGTCTCTATGGGTTTGCCTGGATAGTTCGTATAAATGGAATCATACAGTGTATGGTCTTTTGTGACTGTTTTGCCCATTTTTTGTTGGGTTGTTTGATTTCATTATTGATTTGTAATAGTTTTCAATATTCTTTATTCACATCTTTGTCAGATGTCAAATTAGCCAGACTTCATTGTTATTACTTTGAAAGATGAATTAAGAATGTACAAAAGACAGTAAGAAATGTCTTCCTCACACCCCTTTTTCCCAGCACCAAGATTCCCTCCAGAAACAGTCCTTATTACTGGTTCCTTGACTATCCTTCTGTAAAGATTTTATTCAAGCAGAAGTGTATATCTAGTCTCTTTTTGCACAAGGTCACTATGCACACTATTTTGTACCTTTTTTCAAATGATACAGATGTTTGATTTTTTTGGACTATATTTTCATTTCAAAATTCAAAGCAAATCTTTCCTCATACCTTTGTGCTCAGCCACCTAGTCTTTCCCCTCCCATTCCCACATGTGTATTTAGTGAGAATATATCTAATCCTGTCTTTTCTATTTTTTCACCCAAATAGAGGCATTCCACACCTGTGTATCTTTCTACCTAATACTGTAGATCCCGCAGGTATCAGAGTGTGGAGATTGCCACTGCAATTCTTTGCTGTCTCCCTTTCCTCTCACAACATTCCTCCATCAGGATGTACCAGAACCTCTGCAGGTAGAAGGTGGTGTGAGCTGCTGGCATTGGCCAAGGCACAGCAGGCAGGACGTGCTAGAAGGACAGACCCGGGGAGCACAGGGAAGGCGGTGGGAGCAGTTGGCTGGCAACCACAGACCCAGGCTATGTGTATAATACGTTCCAGGAGTGGGGTGTGTTGAGAAGGGGCAAGCATGTTGGTAGCCACAGAGATCAAGGCAGACTGGAACCATGCTGCTGACTCACCTGTGGTAGGACCTGTTTGGGTTGGGATGGTTCTAGTAGAGATGAACCTGCCTCCATTTCTGGTCTGGTCGCTCCCCATCCAAATGTCACATATATGGCAATAATGCATGGACAGACTGCCCCCTGCAGGGCTGGAAGCTTTGACCATCTCATGATCAGCTGCTTTACTCTCATGAGATGTAATTCATGCATAATGTAACCTACCAACACACAGTTTAAAAAAATAAGTTTGATGTGTTTAATGTCATGTTAAAAGGGAGACATAAAAGGGAAGTGTGTATAATAAAATTCAGTATCTAAATGCTCAGGTATGACTTCATTAAAAAAGGTTCCCTCACAGATTTCTAAAATGTTGCCAGGTCAGCAGGCAGCACCACACCCATTGGGAACCACAGGGCTGGGCCATGCTATGTGCTGCCAATGTGCTTACTTCTTTATATTTTTATTTCAGATAAGTGCAGTAGAGTTCATTTCCACTTGCCATATCGATGGCAAGTCTTAGATGGAGGCAAGTGGAAGGATTTTCACAAAATGGAGCTTATTGAAGAGGCATATAGCAATCCTGCAAGAGACGGGTATGAAATATGTCACCTGTGTCTGTCTGTGCCTGGGCTTTTGTGTGCAGTATAAGAAGTTCAGACACAGTGGGGTTTAGTTTTGATGGGCTTCAGACACACACACACACATACATGGAGTAAGCAGGCTACCTAGTGTACAAGCAGAGGCTCTGGGCTGGAAATTGAGGGTTGATAGTCATGCTGGTGGTTGATGCCTCTGTTCCCTCATCTTCCTCTCTTTTCAGGGAGGAACTATGGGGAGAGGAGTGAGGGAGGGGTACCAAATAAGTTCTGAATTATTTGATGCTGGGATCGATCATGTAAATATATCCTCATTGTTTAGTCCAGAAAAGCAAGAAGTAGTCATTTGTGAAATTTTAGCCTTTGCCTGTAAAGTCATGCAGCTGAACTGCTGTTTGTCATTCAGTCTTTTTTATTTTTCTATGTATGTCCTAGAATTTTCACTTAGAGTAAATGGGGAAGTGTTGAGTAACTTTATTTTCAAATGCTTACTGTGTCTTGGATTCCTTGGAATATATGTTGCCAAGAAGAGAATTTGAGCCCGTTTTTTGAGTGGGTAAAATAAATTTGTGCTTAGGGTGCAGTTATGTGCAACTTGATGCTGATAAAGTATGTGAAACAAATTATCCCCTTTTTGGAAGATTAAGTGGCTCATGTAGCCAGCCCTTATCTAAGTCTCCCCCTTCTCTTCCTCTCCTTTTCTGAGGCTTTTTAAGTTAAAATGGATACTTGGTGATATGCACAGATACTAAGCATATAGGTCAGTGAATTTTGAGGAAGGCATAACTTGTGCAGCCAGTGCTCTGATCCAGCTGTAGACCATTTTCATCACCCAGAAGCTCCCCTTCCAGCCCTCTTCCAGTCAGTGTCCACACCACAAACCACTGCTGTTCTAACGTCTGCCAGCACAGATAGTCCTGCCTGTCCTTGAACCTGGTCTGAAGGGAGCTGCTCTGGACTGTTTCCATGTGTTTATGTGTTCACATGTACTCCGGCTTCTGTGGGATAGGTGTTGGGAGTCAGCCTGCTGGGAGCCAGGCTGGTCCCTCCTCAGCTCGGTTGGGGGTTGCCAGGTTGTTTTCCACAGTGACTGTACTGCTTCCCACCCCCATTAGCGGTCTGTAACAACGTGGCTCTCACATTTGGTACAGTCTGATATCTGCACTTTTCTAGTCTTCAGTGTAAAATGAGGTCTCTGTTTGCATATCCTTGAATCCTTGTGAGGAAAGGTGTCTCCTCTCATGTTCAGTGCCCACTTGTGCTTTCTCTGCGTGAAATGTCTGTGTTTGTAGTTGGCCTGTTTTGTGAGGGGAAAGATTGTGCTTTTCCTTAGTTTTGGAATTCTTCAAGTGTCTGGGTATTAAGTATATGTTGAAAATAAATGAAAAAAAAAAAAAGAAATGAACTCCTCCTGTCAGCTTATGATATCTGTTAATGAAGAAAAGTATTTTTCCATCCTCCTCTTTGTGGTTTTATACTGTTTTATTCTTTTCCTTTTTTTTGGAGGGTTTCTACTTTTTGTGTCATAAGAAATTCTTCCTCATCCTGAGACCATCAAAAAATTGTCCTGAATTTTCTTTAAAAATTCTTAACATTTTAAAGACTGTGTTAACCTCTCCTTGCCTGTGATGGAGTATGTGTCCAGTTTCATCCTTATGCAGATGAATTTCCAAAGACCACTTTAAAAAATATATTCAATTAAAAATTTAGAGTTTGGGATTGCCGTGTACACACTGCTGTATTTCAAACAGATAACAAGGACCTGCTGTAGAGCAGAGGGAGCTCTGCTCAGTGTTCTGCAGTAATCTCAATGGGAGAAGAATTTGACGAACAATAGATAAATGTGTGTGTGTGTATGTATGTATAACTGAATCACATTGCTCTGCACCTGAAACTAAGATGACATCGTTAACCAGCGACACTCCAAAATGAAAAATTTTAAAACAAGTAAAGCATTAAAAAATAAATAAAAGGTTAAGATTAAAAACATAAAAGATTCAAAAAGTAAATCTCAATGAGGCAGGGACTTCCTTGGCAGTCCAAAGGTTAGGACTTCACCTTCAGTGCAAGAAGTACAAGTTTGATCTGGTCAGGGAACTAAGATCCCACATGCCTTGTGGCCAGAAAACCAAAACATAAAACAGAAGCAATATTGTAACAAATTTAATAAAGACTTTAAAAACAGTCCATGTGAAAAAAAACACCAAAATAACCAAACTGAGAAAAGTGAGCCAAAATATATTTGGGACATATAGATATGTATATATATATATAGAGAGAGAGAGAGAGAAGTATTTCAGGTCATTTTTTAAAAATACATTTGTAATTCAACTCTGTATCTTATGGACAAAAGAACATCCCCTGCCAAATGTTAAACTCTACTCAGCAAAAGAAAAAATTGTAATGAAACAGACATAAAATTTACCTACCATCTTAACCATTTTTAAGTGTAAGGTTCAGTGGCATTAAATACATTCATGTTGTTCAGCTGTCTTACATTGTTCATTTCCAGAAGTCAGTCGATTTTTAAACCCACCCAAACTGAGTCAGATTTGACAAAATGTTAATACATTTTATAGGTTAATTTCAGACTTAGATGCCAAGTACTACTTTTGTAAGTAGGCCATCTTTTTTGCACCTGTTTTCAATGCTGTCTGTGTCAGGTATTGAGTTAGCAAATACACACCCCTTCTTTTTCTGGCCCCTTCTGCTTCATTGGTCTGTGTCTCTCTTATCAGTATCACACTGTCTCATATAGAAGAGCTTTACAGTAAGTTTAGGCATGTGGTAAGGCAGTTTCCCACCTTGTTTTCCTTCAGATTGTCTTGCCTCTTGGTCTTTTTCTCCTCTTCAGAAATTAAAAAATCTGCCTGTTGGTTTTCACAGAAATTTCTGTTGTGGTTTTTTTAACTTGAAATTGCATTGTCTATTACCAGTTTGGGGAGAACTGACATCATAATATAGCAACTCATTTAAATGTTCTTTAATACCTTTTTTTCCTGTGGTAAGAATTTTTTAGGATTCATTCTGTTAGCAACATGCAAATATTGCTATACAGCATCATTAACTATAGTTGATCATACTGTGCCTTGCATCCCTAGTTAAGTTTTTTTGTTTATTTTCTCCCTGCTGATGTGTAGAAAGGCAGTTGACTTTTCTACCTTATCTCTTGCAACTTTACTGAAATATCTTAACTACTGATAATCTATTTGAATTATCTATATAATTCTCGATATACTTGATACATGTTTAGAAATTAATATCTGTGAATAGCACTCTTAAGTTTTTCCTTTTTAATTCTTAAAAATTTTATTTCTTTTGATTGCCTTACTATACCTTATTATATCCTGTACCATGCTGAACAGAAGTGATAATAACTTTTTTTCCTCATTTTAAAAGGAGTAGTTTTAAAATGTTTTCCCTTAAGCATATGTGAATGTTTGCAACCTTTAGCATCGCTAATCAATTCTGATTTATGCCTAATATGCCAGGAGTTTTTCTTTAATTGTGTATGGAAATTAAATTTTATTGAGTGCTGTTTCTGCATTAAGAGCCTATGTTTCATTCTGTTTTGCTTGTTAATGCAGTGATTTACATTAATTTTCTAATGTTAAGTCCATTTCACTCCCAGGCCTAAGTCATGCCTGTGCGTATGTAGACACACACGTACACACACACACACACACACAATGGTGAATTTAGATTGGCACTATTTGGTTTAAGATTTTTGAATTTATGTTTGAATAAGATTGGTCTATAATTGTTTCATGTTGTCTTTGCCTCTTTTCTAAAATTGAAGTATAGTTGATGTACAATATTATATGTTACAGATGTACGGTATAATGATGCCTGGTTTTTATCTTATGAAATTACTGGCCTCATAAAAATGAGATTGGAATGGATATTTTTTCTATTCTCAAAAGGCCATGTGAAATTAGAGTTATTTTTTTCCTGAATGATTATGCATCTAAAAGTTTCTAGTCTTGATGTTTAATTCTTGGGAAGATTTTAGACTATCTACCCAATTTCTTATAATTATTATAGAATCAGTCAAGTTTTTAGTTTTTCCTTGAGTCAGTTGGTAAGTTGGTATTTTTTCTAGGAGTTTGGTCATTTTATTTTAAAACTTACTGTCATAAAGTTACTTGTAATATCCCTGTTAGTGTCTATGCCATCTTTAATTTTGTCCCTGTTTATACTTTTAATCTTTTTTTCTCCCCTCCCTTTTTTCTTCATCAGTCTTGCAGAGATTTATTACTCATATTTTTCTTTTTTGGAGGAACAGACTTTTGTCCTTTTTTGACCCCATAGATTAGATGACCTATGGTTTATTTCGAAGTATATTTTAAAATTAATCTTTAAATTTAAATTCAAATGAATTGCATTGTGGTCAGGCTATATAGTAACCGATTCTTTGAATTTTGTTGTGAAAGTGAAAGTTGCTCAGTCGCGTCCGACTCTTTGTGACCACATAGAATTCTCCAGGCCAGAATACTGGAGTGGGTAGCCTTTCCCTTCTTCCGGGGATCTTTCCAACTCAGAGATTGAACCCAGGTCTCCTGCATTGCAGGCAGATTCTTTACCAGCTGAGCCACAAGGGAAACTGAAGAATACTGGAATAGGTAGCCTATCCCTTCTCCAGGGGATCTTCCCGACCCAGGAATTGAACCGGGGTCTTCTGCACTGCAGGGGGATTCTTTACCAACTGAGCTATCAGGGAGGCTAGTACATCGTTAATTTTGGTAAAAGTTCTGTGTATACAAAGTGTTTTGTATGTGGTGTTAGATGAAGGGTGTTAATTGTGTGGCTCTAATCTTTTGTATCTTTATTGATTTCTTTGTCTGCTTCTTGTATCAGTTAGCCAGAAAGGTATGTTAACAGTTGACTATGAATTTGTTGGTTTCTCCTTGTAATCCCATCAATTTTTATTTTATATTTTAAAAACTATTATGAAGTATATAGAAGTTAAAAATTCTATCTTCCCAGTAAATTGAACCTGGTAGTAATATAAAATGAATGCTTTTTATTAGTATTTCTAGTAATGCTTTTTTTGCCTTACGTCTTGTTTCATTTGATATTAATATAACTATGCCTGCTTTCTTTTAGCCATGCTTCACCATTTTACTTTTAAACTCTTTTGTTTCTATTTTAGATATAGATCCTGTAAACATCACAAAACTGGATATTTTTTCAGTTTGACAATCTTTGTCTTTTAATCTTTTTTTTTATAGTGGTTTATTCATTTGTTGGGATTGCCTATTTACACATTGTGATTACATTTGAATTTATTTCTACTGTCTGTTTTTGCTTTTTGACCAGCTTTTTCTGTTTTTATTTTCTCTTTTTGGTCTTCTCTTAGATGTTTCCTCATTTGATTTTTCCCCCCTTATCTATTAATTTGAAAGTTATATAGTGACTTTCTGTTCTTTTAGTGGTTACTCTGGAATACAGACCCTTTAACTTAATAAACTTTAGCTTAACAACTTAAGCTAATCAATACATTCTATCATTCTCTTGAACAGTAAGAGAGTCTTGAACACTTGAATTCTGACTAGTTCCATTCAAACTCATTTACCACAGTGTGAATTTGGGCACATTACTTAGTCTTCATGTGCCCCAGTTTTTCCTTATGTCAAGTATATAAAAATAATAGTTCTACATTAAAGGATTAATTATTTTGAGAATTAAAAGAATTAATGTGTAAAATGCTCAGAATAGTGCCAGGCATATAAAATGTGCTGTATAAAATTGCATACGTTTCCTTGTGGATCATTTTCTTTTAAATTCATCTTTTAGAAGTTGGTTTAGTGAGAGTCTAGTGACAGATGTGTTTTTTGTTTGTCTGAAAGTGTTTATTTCATCTTCATTCTTGAAAAATAGGTTTATTGGGTGTTTTCTCTCAATTCTTCAAAGATCATTCCATTGTTTTCTGGCTTCCATTGCTTCTATTTAGAAGTTAGTTATCAGTATAAATACATTGTTTGGCTTGGAGATGGGGTGCTGCCATAACCGATGACCACAAACTTGGTGTCTTAGGAGCAAGAATTTATTCTTATGTTTCTGGAGGCTAGAATTCCAAAGTCAAGGTGTCAGCAGGGCTATGCTCTGTCTGTAGATGCCAGGGGAAGATCCTTCTTGCCTCTTCCTAACTCCTGGTGGTTGGTGGCAGTCCTTCGTATTCCTTGGCGTTCCTTGGTTTATAGCTGCGTTACTCTAATCTCTTTATTTGTTGTCTCATGGCTTTCTCTTATGTGTTTTTGTGTCTAAATTTGTCTTTTTATGAGGACACCAAGTCATTGGATTAGGGCTCACCCTAATTGAGTATGACCTCATCTTAATTATATCTGAGAAGACCTTATTTCCTAGTGAGATCACATTTCAGCTGCCACGAGTGAGGATACAATTCAACACATTACGGTAGGTAATCTGTTTTTTTCTCTCTGACTAAACATACAGTCAGCCTCTGGTGCTACAGTTTCACTAAGATCTGTCTATGTGTGGATTTATTTTTATTTAGTCTATTTATAATTCATTCTTCTTGAGTGGGAGATTTTATGTTTAATCAGTTCTGAAAATTCCTCAAAAATATTGCTTTTCTGGACTTCTAATTAGACATATATTAAGATCTTCTTACTCTATTTTTTATGTCTTTTGACTTCTCTCTCACGTCATCCTTTGTCCTTTATGCAGGGGAATTTCTTCACTTGGTTTCCTAGTTCATCAGTTCAGCCTTGTCTGAGATGCAGTGTGTCCTGTCTACTGTGATTTTAAAATTGTAATTATTTACTTCTAAAGATTCTGTTTTTTTCTTCAAATTTTATCTGCTTAATTCTTATAGTTTCTTAATTCGTACTCATATTTTTGATACTCAATATTAACTTTAAAAAACACTTTATTCATATTGTATATTTATATCCAACAACTCTTGATATTTGTTGTCTTTAGCAGACTGTTTTTGCTGGATTTTGCTTATGGTGTCTTGTTTCTGGTTTATTTGATTATAAGCTCATATTTGCTGAAACTTTATCTGTAGAAATTTTTAAAAGTTTAAACCTTTTATTATGTATTGGGGTGTAGCTGACTAATAATATTGTTGTAGTTTCAGGTGAACAGCAAAGGGACTCAGTCTCACACACACACACACACACACACACGTATCCATTCTCCCCCAGGTGAACAGCAAAGGGACTCAGTCTCACACACACACACACACACACACACACACACACGTATCCATTCTCCCCCAGGTGAACAGCAAAGGGACTCAGTCACACACACACACACACGCACACACACGTATCCATTCTCCCCCAGGTGAACAGCAAAGGGACTCAGTCACACACACACACACACACACGTATCCATTCTCCCCCAGGTGAACAGCAAAGGGACTCAGTCACACACACACACACACGCACACACACGTATCCATTCTCCCCCAGGTGAACAGCAAAGGGACTCAGTCTCACACACACACACACACACACACACACACACACACACACACACACGTATCCATTCTCCCCCAGGTGAACAGCAAAGGGACTCAGTCACACACACACACACACACACACACACACACACACACGTATCCATTCTCCCCCAGGTGAACAGCAAAGGGACTCAGTCACACACACACACACACACACACACACACACACGTATCCATTCTCCCCCAGGTGAACAGCAAAGGGACTCAGTCACACACACACACACACACACACACACACACGTATCCATTCTCCCCCAGGTGAACAGCAAAGGGACTCAGTCACACACACACACACACACACGTATCCATTCTCCCCCAGGTGAACAGCAAAGGGACTCAGTCACACACACACACACACACACACACACACACACATATCCATTCTCCCCCAGGTGAACAGCAAAGGGACTCAGTCACACACACACACACACACACACACACACACACACACACGTATCCATTCTCCCCCAGGTGAACAGCAAAGGGACTCAGTCACACACACACACACACACACACACGTATCCATTCTCCCCCAAACCCACCTCCCATCCAAACTGGCACATAACATTGAGAAGAGTTCCATGTGCTATGCAGTAGGTCCTTGTTGGTTATCCATTTTAAACATAGCAATGTCCATGACCTTCCCAAAGTCCCTTACTGTCCCTTTCCTCCAGAAACCATAAATTCAGTTTCTAAGTCTGTGAGTCTTTTTCTGTTAAGTTCATTTGCGTCATTTCTTTTAAGATACCACATATAAGGGATGTCATACGATGTTTCTCTTTCTGCCTGACTGACTTCACTCAGTATGATGCTCTGGGTCCATCCACCCAGAGAGTATGGGTCCATCCACCCAGAATAATGCCATATTACAAATGGCATTATTTCTTTTTAATGGCTGAGTAATATTCATATATATCTCTCTATATATGCACCATATTTTCCTTATCCATTCCTCTGTTGATGGACATTTAGGTTGCTTCCATGTCTTGGCTATTATAAACAGTGATGCAATGAATATTGGGGTTCATGTATCCTTTTGGATCATGTTTTTCTCCAGATATATGCCCAGGAGTGGGATTGCAGGATCATATAGTAGCTCTATTTTTAGTTTTTTAAGGAACCTCCATACTGTTCTCCATAGTGGCTATGCCAATCTAAATTCCCACCAGCAGTGTAGGAGAGTTCCCTTCTTTTTATACCCTCTTCAGCATTATAGAAATTCTTTTGAGGCCTGAGTTGAAGGTGAATTCCTTCCAGAGAGGATTTGTGTTTGCTTCTATGGGAATTGCCACTGTGGGTCTCTAAATTTAATTCTCACAAAAGAAGTGTGAAGCAACTTAACTTCCTGGAGGCGTGAGCAGTTTGTGAGTTCTCAGTGGAAGTTTTCTTCCTTTCCTTCTAAAGCCAACTCTGACATAGGCAAATTTCCTTGCTGACTTCCTTTGCAAAGCAGATTCCTTTCCCAGCTTCCTTCACTAAGGATGTGAAGTCTTTTAGAATCATGATTTTATGCTGAAATATCTCTCTGGAGATTTAACCCTTGACCATATTCAGATCCTACATTTGTTTCCTGTTTCCTCATTGCCACTAAAAATAGGGCTGTTTGTCACTACTCACTGACATTGCCTTTGGACTGGCTTTAGTTCTCATTCACCTCACTGGTTCCAGACCTTCCCTTTGCTCTTGGGGCAGTACAGCATTTGGAAAGTGAGTAGATCTTGGTGGCTCAGAGTGCAGGCTCTTCTGCCAAACTGCTTAACTTAAACCCCAGCTCTGCCATCTATTAGCTGTTTAACTTTGAACAGGTTTCTGAACCTCCCTGGGTTTCTATTTTCACATTTGTGAAAATGGGGATAAGTCACAGATTTGGTACAATGAAGACCTTAATCCCTTAAAATGTATAAAGTACTTAGTAGGGGGGGACTGGCCCAGCCCACATGCATTCAGTGTATATTAACTGTTTTTTGGCTTCTAAGGATTTTTGTTTCTTGTCAGCTCAGTAATGCATTTTTTTAAGAAGCTGTTTTACCTAGCATTTTTGTGTAGTGAAAGGAATATCATGATAACAGGTTCCCATAGTGTGTGTGTGTTTGCACGCTTAGTTGCTCAATTGTGTCTGACTCTCCCATGGACGGTAGCCTGCCAGCCTCCTCTGTCCATGGCATTTCCCAGGCAGTAATACTGGAATGGGTTGCCATTTTCTCCTCCAGGGGCTCTTTTCCATGGTATTGTGATTTTATTATTTTCACACAGCAAAATGGATCTTAAAGCAAGTCCCCTCCCACCCTGACACATTGTTTTAAATGTGCAGATCCCATGTATGTTCACATCTTTCAGCCGAGTGACTCGGGGACCTCAAGGGAGGCTGAGGGGCCCACGTTCATGTGGCTGGTGGACTTTCAGCTTACGTCTTGTGTTCTTTTGCAGGGTCACGTGCACCGAGACATCCAGTAGCTTTCTCATTGGTTTTCTGAACTTTGACACCATGAAGTTTGGTGCCACCCGGGCTCGCCGTCTCTCCACGGCATCCTCGGTCACCAAACCTCCACATTTCATTCTCACCACCAACTGGATTTGGTACTGGACTGATGAGTTCGGCTCTTGGCAGGAATATGGAAGACAAGTAAGTGTCATGGAAAGAGGGTGAGTGTTTCTTCCTGTGGGTCCATGATGGAGGAGCCTTTCCAAACATGGGCACAAGGACTGCTCCAGGGAGCCCTTGACAGAGCCAAAGATCCCCACGTCCCCTTATGACTCACTTGCTTTGGGGGAATTATGGCAGAACTGGATAATTTAGAGTTCATTTGTATGAGGTCACATCTTGGAACAATTAGCTATCTGTTAGTTCATGAGGACTGAGTAACTTTGGTTGTAGTGATATCATAGTTTGTTAAATGGGGGTAGAAAAATGTCTCTCTTACTGTTGAGCAGGTAACTCCAGAGTGAGTGCCTGGGTGTGCAGGAGTGTTTGTGTAGCTGTGGAATAAAGCTTAAGGCTTTTCAAAACTGGCTTTCTGCTTTATCTATAGTAGTCGCTTTACAAAAGGTTTACAAGTATATGAAATAAACTTGTTTCAGCTATTGATTTGGTATCTGGGTCAAGTAACTGCTGCTGTCAACTATTTGGAGATGTTCATAGATGAATCAAGTTTAGAGGGAGCTCCCCCCCTGCCCCGGTTACCTGTAGAGATACATGTGTAGGGAGGTCACCATTTCTATAGTGACAGCTTCTCCCAAATGACAGTTGGGATATGTGGTCTAATAGACATTTGTATTTTTCTGGGTTGTGAGAGGCTATATTAAAGCTTTAGTTTCATGCTCTTGACTGCATTTGGAATGTCTCTCTCTCTCTGGGAACTCTGTAATTGTGAGCTTCGTGGGAGCTTTTGCCACTGACGTGTCCCCGGGCTGAGGACGGTGTTTGCACATAGCAGGTCCTCAGGATAAAGACGTTGGCCATTTGAAACACAGAGGTATTGCCACTCTATTCCCGCTGGCCAGATGGACGTGGGCACTCTCAGCAGATGACTTGTTCCCTCCTCCTCCCCTCTTCTTTCAGTGCCAGCCTTCCTGTATCATTGCTCCATCCGTCTTCTGCCCCACCTGTCTCCCCCCGAACATCCTGGGATTTCTTCTGTCTTCCCTGGATTTGTTCAGGGAGGCTCTCTAGTGTGGCTCTGAGTTTGGTCAGAAGTGGGAGGGGAGAGGCCGAAACAATGGACAGAAGAGGCTGTGGTGCTCAGGTCCTCAGTGAAATAGCGTTTGCGAGGTCACTTGCACTTGAAGGGTTGTGTCATCTGTTACAAGTAATTGAATACCCTCTCTTCCATTGCTCCCGTCACAGTTATCCAGGTTAGTTGGGCCCATGTGGGCTGTCTTCCATTTTTCTGAGCAGCTTACAGCAGGTAGTCCTATTGGCTCCTATTCTGTGCCTCTCTCTATGACCATAGCCCCACTCCCAGCTCCTCTCATGTGCTTCCCCCAGGACACAGACACCCACTGTGGGCTTGTCTGCAGGGTGTGTGGATGGCCCCCAACGTCTTATCTTCTTGCCTTCACCATGTATCTATCTGGCTTTCCCTTCATAGGGCATGGATCACCCTGTGACCAGCATCACCAGCAGTGACTTGGAGAAGGCCTACCTGGCGTACTGTGCCCCGGGGTCTAACCCCCAGGCAGCCACCCTGAGGTTCCAAGCAGGAAAGCACACATATGAGTTAGACTTCAAAGGTACTTCCTGGGGTTCCCCGGTGGCCTAGTGATTAGGATTCTGGGTTTTCACTGCTTTGCCTGTATTCAGTCCCTGGTCAGGAAACTGAGATTCCACAAGCTGTGTGGCATGGCCAGGGCGAGGTTGGGGGAAGGTATTTCCTGATCCACTGCACTCACCCAGTAGGGCCTGATCATCTGCTGGCTTTGCCTTTTCCATCTTAACCCTGGAGAAACTGCACACACGTTGAGGGCCAGGAAAGAGAAGGATGCAGTGGTCCCTGATCTGAAGTGCTGTGGATCTAGAAGGGAGGATAGACCTGTCAACCAGTGAGCCAGCCAGCAGGATGCAGGGGGAGCTGCCTGGGGTAGAAAGCAGGCAATGGGAACCCCGAGTGTGGAGGGATAAGGGGCATCAGCCTGTGGGCAGTGGTGGTGTTGGCAGCACTGAGGCAGGGTCCTGCAGGCCGTGGGCAAGTAAGTCCCTGTGTCTGAGGATTAACTTTAGTCAGTGACACGCATCACAGTGGTTCTGCTCTGCAGCTCCTCCTCCTGCTCCCAGCTGCAGAGTCCATGTCAGCTTTTCTGTAGGCGCCTTCAGCACTGATGGCTGGCTGGAAACACATGGTAGACACACACATCAGCTAAAAATTGCTGTGAAACAGATTATCAGGTGCTCTGCTTGTGGTAGCCTGAGTCTGGGCCTTAATGGCTTGTTCTGCTTGCCTTGACAGACAGACAGAAGCAGACCAAACACCCTTTGGTCAGGTCTTCCAGTGACTTATTTGTGAGGTGTGGTTTTTTTTTCCTTTAGTTTCGGTTTCTTGTGGCTTCTTTCAAGCCATTTTCACATGGATTTATCAGTTCATCCATGTTCAATTTAGTTTTGCCTTTAAATTCACATTTTAATCTCTGAATCCTTATGAATTTTCAGCATTTTTTTAAGGAAATTAAGTGGACCTCCTTTTAAGCACTTTTAAACAGCACTTTAAGCACTGTTTATTGTTTACTTTTGTGGACCATCTGTTTGGAGGGCAGCAAACTGTCTTTGGTGAATTATCCTAAGTCCACTCTGTCTGCCTACTTTTATCCAGTTAGTTTTGCTTGTGGTTTCGTAGTACTTATAATTCTGCTTAAGGTAGAATCGCTGCCCCCTCGATGTGCCTGTGCACAGAGCCTAAAAGTTTCTTCAACTCTACAGTGAGAACTGCTTCCAGCTTTCAGTATTTGCTGGGAAACATCAATCATGTATGAGGTGGTTTTACAATCCACAGTCTGATAAACACAAGTGCACTCAAGGGGATTGTGAGAAATCTATGGAATAATAAGTTGGGACTGGCCTGAAGATCAAGTCTGTACAACTAGGACCCATCTGACTGCTGATGACCACAGTTTGAAATATTTCTTTAAAGTATCTGAACACTATCAAAACAAATCAACCAGAAATGTCAGATGCAGCCTGTCAACACAGGCAGCTCCCCCAGGGGACAAAATAGTCACGATGAGGGTGGGGAAGAACACACACTGAGTTTACTGCAAACTCAAGAAAAGCATATTTCCTGCAGACTGCCCCAAGCGCACTTGGTGGGCAAAACTCTTTGGTCTATGTGTTGGTAGATGACAGTAGCCACAGGAGTTTGAGGTGACGTAACTTCTCCCTCCATAAAAGCAAGTCTCAGACGGCAGTCTGCCACTCAGGTTTATTTACTAAACATTTATTAGGAAGCAAGTTCGTTTCAAAAACACACACAGCAGGCCAAATGACTCGTTCTGTAGCATCAGGGAAGACTTGACTCTGTCCTTTCAAGGACTCCTGTTACAGAACAGTCACTGAAGGGAAATGCCACGACTCCAGAGGCAGAATTCTGCTGTTAGCTGGTATCAGTTGGCAGAATCCCCATGGTCAGGGCTTGTTTAGGACTTCACCTAGTGTATCCTCTTTAATGTTAAATTAGGGAGATGGCCTCATGCTTTACTCTGTTCAAGGGACGTAGGGAACAGGTCTCACAAATGCTTAGCCCATTCACGTGTCTCAAATACCTTTTAATTTTATCTATAAAAGCTTATTTAAGAGTCATTGCAATGCTAGTCAACAGACCAGTGAAAAACCTGTTTAAGCTAATTAACAGAGTATTGGTGAGAGGCTGAGTGATGGGTAACTGAAGGGGGTGTGGTAGCCTTGTCTGGAATGTGGTCTCCCGATCAGAATGTGGGGGACTGCCAGGGAGTGCCCATTCTTGACTGCCTGGACTCTGGCACGAGGGACACACGCCTAGGTGATCACAGGGTGTATGCTCAAATGCAGTAGGGCGAATTAGTTTTTCAAGTCAAATAAATTGTTTAAGTGCAGAAAGTAAGACTTGACAGAGATTTCCTGGTGGTTGGGACATGCAATCTATAGGTATTGTGACTTTTCAGCCTGAAAGACAGGTTCCCCTCTCTGCCGTCAGGATGAATATAAGAATCTTGGGGGTTGGCATAGGGTAAGAATTTCATTTATTAATGACGATACAGGTTTTAAAAGGTTGAGAAATATTGCTGTTGAGTAAGTTTAGTCAAACTAAGAAAAAAAAGTAAGAATAAAATGATTATATTAACTCTAAATCCCACTGGCTCAAGATGTGGTAATTTGGTCTCAGGCTGGGCTGAAGCTTTTTTATATCCAAGCTGGGAAAAATTGCTGAGCAAAATAATAGTTTAAACAAGATTAGAAGGAACAATTTAAAAGCACTCATGTATAATTGATATGTCAATTACTAATCATTCATCTATTCATTAAATCCAGTCTCCTACAGATACCTATTATGAATATTTGAAATGTGTAAAACTGCCTTATTTTTAACAGATTGATTGTGGGCTTTAACATTTGGATTAGTGTTACAACCTGTTTAATTTGTGTTTATAAAACATTGCTGTCCTATATGTATATTTGTGGTTTTATCCCCGCAGCCTTCATTCAGAAAAACGTGATCTATGGCACAGTTAGAAAGGTTTGCCGGAGACCCAAATATGTGTCTCCCCAAGATGTGAAGATGAAGCAAACCTGGTAGGTGGCATTTGGGGAATTTGTTATGTAATATGTGTATCAGCTGATATGTGCTCAACTGCAGGTACTGAACCTACTCAGACTGGCTATAGCATCAAGAGGGTTAGTTGGCTTGCAAACTTATGCCCTGGCACTCTGTCTCTATTTCCTATGTCTTGCCCTCCTCTGAGTATATTTGTACTTTGCTTCATTTAATACCAGGCTAACCCTGTGGCTCAGCTTGTAAAGAATCTTCCTGCAGTGCAGGAGACCTGGGTTCGATCTCTGGGTTGGGAATATCCCCGGAGAAGGGAAAGGCTCCCCAATCCAGTATTCTGGCCTGGAGAATTGCATGGACTGTACAGTCCATGGTGGTCACAGAGAGTCGGGACATGACTGAGCCACTTTACTTTTCACTTAATACCAAAGTGCTACTCTTTATATGAGTGATCTGTAAGAAGGTGGAGGCTTCATAAAATGGAAAAATCTGTATATTTACCACACTTCAAGAAAAATGTATTATAAAGGTATAATATTTAACAAAGTTATAAGAAGGTAAATGATTGATGTATAATTGTTTTAATGATGATACAGATACAATTAACAAAGCATTAAATGATAAGCCAAACACAACAGAAAGGAAAAGATACCTCAAAATCACTTAATTAAATGTTTTATCTTTAAGATTGCCAGTGGTGTTACTGTGACATGAAGGTATTCTTGTGCAGATTTCCCCAAAAAACAGAAAATTCTTTCTTAGTTTAGAGTTAACTTAGAGAATGTGAAGAAATAATAATAATCTAACTCTGATAATTTTCTGGTTCCATTTTCAAGTGATTGTATCTTTTGCTTTATAACTTGGAGGATATCTTTTTGAACAGCTCTGGGTTTTTCTGTTTGTATGTTTTTATTTTTTAATTGGAATATCATTGTTTTACAACATTATCTTAGTTTCTGCTGTACAACAACATGGATCAGCTACATGTGTACATACACCCCTTCTCTCTTGAGCCTCCCTCCACGGCCATTCCACCCCTCTAGGTCATTACGACGCACAGAGCTGAGCTTCCTGTGCCCTACGGCGGACTCTCACTAGTTACCTATTTTACACATGGTAGTGTATACATGTCAGTGCTACTCTGTCAGTTCGTCCCACCCTCTCTTTCCATCCTTGTGTCTGCAAGTCTCTCTGCATCTGTGTCTCTGTTCCTCTCCTACAAATGGGTTCGTCAGTATCGTTTTTCAGGGCTGGTTTTTTTTCCCCCACTGGTAGCAAACTGTGGTTTTTGTTTCTAACAAAGCATTTAAAGTTCCTCTTTGTCCTCCAGTTGTATGTATGAATGGGAATTCCAGTTCAGAGTCATCTAAAGCAGTTTGACTACTGGCATACATATTCCACTAGTTGTAAAGGCATTGGACCAGAGAAAGAATTATCCTTATGGGTAGCAGTGTTGGGATATCTAACTGCAAGGCTGCTTGTTGTGATCTACAGGCCAGTCTAGACTTGAAGCTAGCTTATCAGCTTGTCTTTTCAAGTGAATAATTGAATCACAGACTTGAATTTTTGTAAATGTTGAAATAATGGGATATGCCTCCAAAACTCCATTATTTTAATACTTGAATATCATGGAATATTAAAAATACCAAAAGCAGATGCTGCAGGCACTAATGGGCCAAATTCATCCCCAAAGTGGGCTCCCTTACATCCCAGACTACCAGAAGCCAGTAGGGCTGTGCCTGGCCTTCAGAGCATTTAGGAGCAGGGCTCTCCTGCTGCTGACGGGGACAAATTTGTGAGCTCTGCACTGATCAGACACCTGAATTGGTAGTTTTAGGTTTGAGGCATGTGGGCTGGGATTGGAGTTGGGGGAGGGGTCAGTTCTCTCCAACCCCTATGGCCAGTTACCTGGGGATGGTGGCTTGGATGGCAAGAGGTACCACAGTGCCCATTGGTTTGATGTGTGACAGCCCAGGCCAGGACTGTAGCCAGCGCTGCTGTCAAGCGGACAGCCCCTTCTGTTTGCTGGAGAAGTCTGGCTCATTTCTGTTTCACGGAGGACCGAGAGTGTTTCCGTTTCTTATTCTAAGATGTCAGGTATGGACTTCAGTGGTTGTACTTGTGGAGCATGGGAAGGTCATTTAAAGAAGCTAGAGGGAAAAGGTATTATCAATCCAAGAAAATAGAGTGCCTGTGAGTCTAACAGAGTAACCCTTCCCTGTTTCCTTGAAGCCAGGTGTGCCTTCTTTCCTCCCTTTCTTAATAAAATTTATTTTTGGTTATGTGTAAAACATGATTTAGAAGTCAAACTGTGAAAAGATATACTCAGTAGTTAGAATTCTCTCTATATCTCTGTACTGTTTCCTTGGCAGGCAGCCATTTTCATCAGTTTTTGGTTTATCTTTACTGTGTTTCTTTTTGCAAAAATGAGCAAATGAGTGTACATAAAAGTGTCGTCTTTTGTTGAATAAAAGGTAGCATTCTATCTATACTATTATGTACCTTTTGTCTTTCAGTTAATACATCATTACTAGACTTACTGTGGTGATCACTTCAATATATGTATTGGTTGCTCAGTCTTGTCCAACTCTTTGCAACCCCGGGGACTCTAGCCCTCCAGGCTCCTCTGTCCCTGAAATTCTCCAGGCAAGACTACCAGAGTGGATTGCGCATTTCCTTCTCCAGGGCTGACTCAGGGATCAAACCCAGTCTCCTGCGTTGCAGGCAGATTCTTCACCATCTGAACCACCAGGAAAGCTTCACTTAGAGTACTATACAGATCTGGGGGGAAAAGAAATGACTCTCTTTTAGTTCATTGAAGTCTTCTCACTTCTGCCCTGTCTTCGTGACTCTCCATCATGTGTATTTGCCATGATTTAATCTGTCCCCTGTTGAGAATGCCTTGCCTTTTTGTGGTCTTCTAGTGTGAGTATGATACCACAAAGAATGTCTGCTGTATGTGCTGTTTGTTGGTTGTGGAGGTGAGCCATCAGGTTGGAGTCCTGGGTGGTAAATGCAAGTTCCTCTTTGTGAGGTTTAATGCACTCACCCCAGAATGTGTGAGGTGCCTGTTTCCTTCAGCCTTGAAACAGAGGAAGTCATCAAGCTCTTCAGTAAAGGTGGGAAAGGGTATTTCAGTGTATTTAATTCACTTTCTCTTATGAGTGAGGTTTAATGTTCTTTCCTAACATGTAAGGGCCATTTGCATTTCTTTTTCTGGGGATTATTTGTCTTTTTGTCCATTCTTCAGCCAACATTTTGGTATGTTTCTTAAACATTGAGTCTTCTTTCTGTTGGGGAGATCAGCCCTTAGTTTGTCATGTAAGTTGCAGTATTTTTTCTTTGCTTGTTGTTTGCCTTTTGGCTTTGTCTATGAAGTATTTTACCATGCAGAAATATTTATCATTTAGTTAAATGTATCTGTCTCTTCTATTTAGATTGCTTCTGGATTTAGTTTTGGTTAATTATGAGTGATCCTACTTCTGGACATCATTTTTTTAAAATATTTGTGTTACTTGACTGTGTCAGGCCTTGGCTGCAGCGTGTGGAATCGTTGATATGGTGTACAGGCCTAGTATTTGTGGCACCTGGGTTTAGTTGCCCCAAAAGCATATGGGAACTTAGTTCCCTGACCAGGGATCTAACCCATGTCTCCTGCATTGGAAGGTGGATTCTTAACCACTGGGTCACCAGGGAAGTCCTGGACGTCTTTTTTTCTTTCCTTCCCTATCCAGAGCCTACCCCTGATACAGTTTAGAAAAACCTGTCTCTCTTCTGAAACTGGGTCTCTTTTGTCCTCACTCTACTTTGTTTTCAGGGGCCCATGGCAGACACCACATGTCAGAAATCAGAGTGGTCATTTTGCTGAGATTCAGACTAAGACACGAGGGAGCAGGATCTTCCTGCTCTCTTGCACGTGTTGATGCAGGAAAGTGCATGGTGCTTCCCTCTATCCTGTGTGACGGAAGCTGGTGGTCATGACTCCAGCAAGCAAGTTTGCTTGGTCCTCCATGGCCACTGGGACTCTAGTGTGGGTGGCTTTTAGAAAGAAATGCTTTATTTGCACAGTTAGTGGGGTCCCAGTATATGATCTCCACATTGAATCTACGCAAGTACAGACATTTTGCTTGTTTCTGTTTCTCTTGGAACATTGAAGATACCACTCCACTGTCCTTTGGTTTCCATTGCTGTTTCTGAGAAGTCAGCTGTTGGTCTAACTGAAGCTTTTTGCCAGAATCACTTTTTTTCTCCCCTTCTGGCTGCTTTTGAGGTTTTCCATTTGTCTTTGTATCATGCGCTGTCACTCTGGTATGTCTAGATATGCATTTTTATTTGTCCTGTTGAAGATTCTTTGTGCTTCTTAAATCTGTAGGTTGGTGTGTCTCATTAGTGCTCTTTGAAATTGCCTTCACCCTGTTCTTGGTATTGTCTTTTTGGAGCTTCAGTTTGGCTATGGCCAGATTCAGGCCTTCTCACTGTGCTCTCCATGTCTTGGCTTCTTCCCTCCTTGCCCATCTTCTTACTGCTCTGCCCCACATTCTGGATAATTTCACTGCTCTTACTTTTCAGCTCACCCACCCTCTCTTTAGGTTGTCTAATCTGCTAATAAGCCTGTCCATTGAACTTATACTTCAAAGATTTTTTTATTTCTACAGGTTTTTTTTTTTTTCCTAAATCCTCCAGGCCTATTTATAGTTTTCTGTTCCTTGCATATGTTTTTAAAGTTTGTCTTAAATTTCTTTAAACATAGAAAGAAATTAGCAGGCAGTTGTTTTATAACCTGCCTGCTAATTTTAGCATCTTACATCTACATGGGTCTGTTTCTGGCTGATTCTTGCTTGTGGGACCTTTTTAAGTTATTTTTAAACTGTGCCACTTTCCTAGGAAAGTTATTTGTGGGAGTTCTTTGAGGCTTAGGAAGAAGGTACATATCTCATGCCAGCAGAAACAGAAGATAGATCTATTGTGGGAAGAACAGAGCCTTCTGAAACAGACTAGGAATGATTTGGAGTTAGTTTCACAGTCCTTGTTTCTAAACCCTTTGGTCCACATGTTTTTTAGAACTCAGTTTTTATTTCATTTTTAAAAAGAGCACGTGCTGCTTGTATTATGTGATACATGCAATGACATATGCTAATATTTTTTGCATAGTCACTTTAAGAAGGAAAGAGAGAGACTATAAGTAGCCTCTTGGCAGTTCAAGTCAAATTTCTACTGCCAAGTGAATTTTGACATCAATTTTATGTTTTAAAAAAATGTTTTTAAACATCACATATGTTTATGTAAACATATATAGTTCTGCCAACTATACATCATCGAAGCTGAGTTTTTTTAAACTTAATTTGTTTTTTATTAGAGTATAGTTGATTTATAGTGTTGTTTCTCACTGAGGCTGTTTTTTTAAAAAAATTATTTATTTAGTTAATTTTGGCTGTGCTGGGTCGTCTTTGCTGTGTGGGCCTTCTCTCTGTAGCAAGCTTGGGCTGCTCTGTGTGCAGATTTCTCATCGTAGTGGCTTCTCTTATGGAGTGCAGGCTCTAGGACCCAAACGCTTCAGTAGTTGAGGTGTGTGGGCTCATTAGTTGTGGGACACAAGCTTCATTGTTCCATGGCATGTGGAATCTTCTTGGACTGGCAATCGAACCACTGTCCCCTGCATTGCAAGGCAGGCTCTTAACTGTACCACTGGGGAAGCCCTGAGGCTGTTTTTAATGAAAGTTTCAAGGCTCTTTGAATTTTATAAAATTATGGGGAGGGTTTGTGTGTGCAGCTTTAGTCATAATGCTCTCTCCCTTATGTGGTAGAGTTAGGGTGCAGGTGAGAAACAGATCCCTTGTGCCCGACTGGTTTTGACCACACAGGCCAAGATGGAAGTGCTGTCCAGTGGTGGAGAGCGTGTTTATGTGCTTCCTTGCCTTCTCCCAACTTTACAGACGATATGCTGAGACTCAAGGCTGATGGCCTAGGCTGCTGGAGGCATCTCTGAGAGGCCTGCTTATGTCTAATAACAGACTAAGTGTTTTTCTTTACATTTTGTAGCAGCATCAATTCTCAAGGCCTAAAGAACATTCCTGACCATTGGGATCGCTCGGCCCTGCCGGACACTGGCTTTAAGGTATGAGACTGGCACTGACCTAGGCTGGGAGGAGGGTGTTCTTAGACACAGGTAGGCATGAGCAGGCTGTGCTGTGTCCTCTGCTGCTGAGAGGTGAGTCCTAAGTTTGATACCTTTCAGATTTGGGGCTTACTTACAGCTAAAAGACTACTCAGGAGGTGGCTGTGGCCTGAGGGGAGAAGGATGTGTGGTGGAGGGAGGAAGATGAACTGGAAATTTTCTAGGAAGGGCATAAATAAGCTGCTTAGCTAATTAAAGTTTTACTAAGAAGGAAAGGGAAAGAAGCCAGGAGAGGGTTCAGTATGATGAGGGCCATCTAAAGGAGGAGTTGCAGTTGGGAGGAGGATACTAGGAACTTACTGGAAGATGAGAGAATGAACACTCCGTTTAGCAGCTTGCAGTGGGCGCTGTGCTGAGTTGGGTAGAGAGCTGAGGCCGGGATCTGGTGACGCCAGGTGTACATGGAGCTTCTGGCCTCTGACCCGGCAAGCACTGTGCATACTGGCTTTTCCAACTCGACAGCCCCTGCCTGGGAGACGCCCAAAGCACAGCCAGACCCCAGCAGCCCCGGGAGGACGTCGGAGGGCTGGGCGACTGCAGATGCAGTACTTGGCCATCAGGGACCAGGCCGCTGTATTTCAGGGATCAAGGAAGGCCTCACCGGGTCCACACCTGGTGACGGCTGGTGCTTACACAGGAGAGGGTGGGGAGGAACATGCTGGTGGATGTGAATTGGATGGGGAAGGAACCCAAGACAGGACACGGAGTGTCTCGGGTGGAGGGCATGCATAGATGTGGGGGCACAGGAGAGGGAAGTCAGGCCCCTGCTGTGGAGTGCCTTGGTCAGGGGGCTGAGCTGCAGGCCATGACAGGTGCGGGAGTCCTTGTCGGGCTCTGGTCTGGGAGGGCAGGCTTGAGGGAGAGGGCATGGTGGCCTCCAGAGAGACAGGAGCAGGGAAACCAGAGTCAGATTGTAGGTTGCAGAGAGCCATGGATGTTCACACAGAGCCCAGATCATTTAGGGTCTGTGGGGGATGAGATGGTTATTATAAGACTGCACTTGGGTGGGGGAAAGGATGATGCAGAGAGAATCCCCAGAGATCCTGGAACAGGGTCACTGGGCCCAGCCTCGTGGACCTGGCAATAGGCAAGCTGGTTGAGGTCCAGACAACAGGAGCAGGGATTTGTGCGTTGTCGCTCTGTCTGACAATCAGGGGCCTCTGCGGGCTTGTCAGGAGTGCTTTCCTAGAGCCAGACGCTAGGGGAGGTGCAGACCCAGCTGGGAGGGGTTGCCCGTGGTCTCACTGAGCTGAGCTGCTATGTGCCGTCTGCCAGCCTGGCCTCTCCCTCAGCATGTGCTGTGCGTGGCCTCATCACTGCCCGTGGCAGGATTTACCTCTTCTCTGCCAGACGTGTGTGTTCCACATCCACCAGCACCAGCTCTGGGTCTCATAGACCCTGTAGTCGGCCCTGAGTGGGGTTGGGAGGGGAGCAGGGACCGTGCTTGAACTCCTGCGGTGGTACTGATGTAGCAGTGCCTGCCTGTCCTTCTGGCTGGCTGGTTTCGCCAGGGAAAGGAGGGAAGTGACCACAGATTGCACACATCTGAGCCTGGAGAGACTGCCCCTCAGAGTTAAGGGGAGTGGGGAAAATGCTCCCCTTTACTGAAACACAGAAAGAGGTCTGTGTTTGCTTGTGGTTCTGGCATTCCATGAGCAGCCATGGGAAGAGAGCTGTATTCTACACTTTGACGATAACAGAGTAAAAATGTTTGGCCCTTACAGAGGATCACCGTCCCTTCGTCCTCAGAAGAGTTTCAGAAGGTCTGGAGCCTCTTCACCTGTACAATGCCTCTCTACTCCATTCAGAAGATTGAACGGGTCCAGAACCCCGCCCTCTGGGAAGTCTACCAGTGGTGTGTCCAGGGCTCGCTCTCGGTGGGCTAGTCCCTCGTTCCCTCAGACAGCTGCTTCCCAGACATGCCGGTGCGGCAGCGACAATCTGCCACAACAGCTGCTGCTTGCCCCAGGCCACAGGGATCAGGAGCTGCGTCCCTCTTCTGTCCCCCTCTTCATCTGTACAACTCAGGGCCAGCATGTCCCTCCAGAGATGGGGCGGAGTCGGGGGTGGGTGTTGTGGCCTCCCCAGGGACAAAGCCAGCTCCTGCACTAGACCCTCTGGAGAGCAACAGTCCCCTGTTGCTGGGGTCCATAGAAGCCACCCCTCACCCTAGGGTACGTAAAGCTATTGTCCTGGCAGCCAGAGGGCAAGGGCCTCCTTTTTGTGCCCAAGGACTGGCATGTCCCTGGGCACATGTCCGTGTGGGAAGGAAATCCACAGCAGGTCTCCGTGGTGGGCCTGGAGTCCTGCTCCCCTTTCCCCACAAGAGGCTGGAGCAGGGTCATCTGAACTCCAGGCCGGTGATGAGATCAGGGAACTTAGAGGAGAGGGATGAGGATGCTCCTGCTGTCCAGCATCTTCCAGCTCCCTTGGCTAGGCTTCAGGCGGGAGCAGGATACTGGGGAGAAGTAACCTGGCTTCTCAAGGCTTGTCCATCTACTTTGGGGGTTCAAGGAGCCGTGGAGGCCTGGAGCCCAGGAGGGAGAGCTTCCTTCTCACCCAGGTCCTGCTGTCAGCTTTCCAGGCTCCTGGCCCGTGACTGGAGTCTCATGGCTCCTGGTCTCATGGCATGTCTAGTAAGACATGTTTTCTTGGGTTGGGCAGCCTGTGTTTGGTGGCAAGTGCCCTCTGCCTCCAGCACACGTTCCCTTCATGATTCTAGGCAAAAGGAGCAGATGCAGAAGAGAAACGGCGGGAAGACGGTGGACGAAAGGCAGCTGTTCCATGGCACCAGCACTGGTCTTGTTGATGCCATCTGCCAGCAGAACTTTGACTGGCGGATTAGTGGTCTCCACGGTACTTCCTACGGCAAGGGTAAGCGCCCCTGCTGGCAGAATCCTCTTGGCCTCACTGTCCAGGACCCAGAAACCACCTTAAAACAAATTGACAGAGGGCATGGGGGGAACCAGCATGAGTTGCACCAGTAGTTCAGACTCGGGGAGGACGGGCCAGGATGTGGGGGACCCAGCTGTCGGCGCCTGACTCCCTCCCCACTGTGTGCAGCCCCAGGTCTGACCCCCTGCTTCGGCTGGGGTTTGGCTTCCCTGGGAGATGCGCCTGCATCGTGTGGGGGAGTGAGGAGAGGAGTCAGGTCCCCACCTGTCCACGCTGTTACCTTAGAGTAAAAATCCGAAAGCTCAGATACGCTTGGGTAAATATGTCATTCTTGCTATAATGTGTTACCTGGCTTTGTCTCTTGGTTATTTTTAAAATTTATTTGAAAATAATTTCTAACTCACAGGAAAGGTGCAAGAATAATATTTAAAAAACCCTCCCACGTAAATTTTACCAGTTCATCAGCTTTAACACTTCACATTGGATTTATCACCCCCGTCTCTTATTTCTGAACCATTTGTGAGTAGGTGGCATGTATCATACCACTTTGCCCTTAAACACCTCTTGAGAACAGGAACATTCTCCTCTCCTCTTCAGTGGTTGCTAAATTGAGAGAACCTTGTAGTGGTGTGATCTGTAGTCAGCAGCCTCTCGGCCAGGTCTGTCTGTTAGCTTCAGTCTGCATGCTGACGGCTGTGGGGTCAGGGTGCATGGGAGCCAGTGGTGGGTTGTAAATCTGAATGTGCAGGCAGCAGCTTCCAACTCAGATTCCCATCCATGAATCTATGTATCGGGTGGTGGGTGTCTGCAGCGTGTTCCATGGGTGGGGTCTTGGTCATTTTCCACACTAACCCTGGGAAGTTGGGCTGACAGCCCCATCTTATGGCTCAGGAAGCTGACATTCTAGGGGAGGGGGGCAGTAATGAGGGGCCCAGAGACCTTTCGAGTTGGAGTGACAGATCTTACTTGAAAGGAGTTTTCCATCTCAGAGTTTCATGACCCCTCTGAAGCCCTTCATGAGCAAGAAGTTGGAAAAATGGGAGCAGAGGGAAGGTAATGGCTGTAGATCTTGCCCTGTTGACAGGAAGTGGGCACGCCTTTCCTGGCCACAGGCTGACCCTGGTGTCCTTGTAGGGAGCTACTTTGCCCGGGACGCCGCGTACTCCCACCACTACAGCAAAACCGACACCAACACCCATGCCATGTTCATGGCTCGGGTGCTGGTGGGCGAGTTTGTCCGGGGCAGCACTGCCTACGTCCGCCCCCCGATCAAGGAGGCCCAAGGCAACATCCTGTATGACAGCTGCGTCAACAGCATGTCCGAACCGTCCATCTTCGTGATCTTCGAGAAGCACCAGGCCTACCCGGAGTACATCATCCAGTACACTGCCTCCACCAAGCCCCCAGCCGCTGCTCCCACCCTCTTGTCCTTGGCTTCTTTCATCAGCGGCCGGCGGTGAGCACCCCGATGGTTTTATGCCTTTCTGGCTTATCTTACTTGAAATAGTTCTTTAGGGAAAGTTTTTTTTTTTAAACAAAAAACTTTTAATGAACTGTTCATTTAACATTGACTTTGTGATGAAGTTACGAAGATTCTTAATCTCTGGCTGATGATAATATTTTCACTTTTAAATCACTTTTGGACTAGCCAGTAATGATGGTAGGCGAATCCATTATTGCTTTTTACTCGGGTGTTAAAGTTTTATTTTTTACTCTTTGTTGACTTTGCTGCAGATTGGCATCAGGCACAGATTTTCCAGACACTATTTTATGGATTGGTTTAAATTTGCAACAATTTCTGTCTCTTCAGTGGTTTGACGTTTCAGGGTCTTTGTGACACCTGGATTTGTTTTTATCAGAATGACACAGTAGCCATTGGTACAGGAAGTCCTGGGTTGTGGGCCTGGCAGGGCACATAATGTCCGTTGCGATGTGTCTAATCCGGGCAGCATTTCTGCTGCTTCTCCTGGGCTTCTGGCCTTGAAATTGGCCCATGTTAGACCAGTGGCTAGACCAGTTGTTAGACCAGTGGCTGCTGTGTAGTGTCATTGAATCCCTGTTGGTGTCCCTTAGTCGTGGCAGGTGACAGGAATGAGTGGCTCTCCCAGGTCCTGGCCTGGCCTGTGAATGCTTGTCCCTGCCTCTGCACAGAATACCCTCTGAATAAGGGTTTTATGTCCCCATGAGATATGAATACCTGTGCTGTAGTGTCATAGCAGAGTCTGGGAATAAAAAAATATTTATTTGACATGGGTGACAGCTGCGGCTCATTCTTTAGCGTCTGTTTATCGAGCGCCTGTGGGGTAAGTCACTTTTCTGGGTGTCAGGATAAAACAGAGCCCCTGTTTCTGGCCTCGAGGAGGGCTATGCATGGTTTTATCATGAAGGTGATGAAGCTGAAGCTTCACGGCCCCTCATTTACTGGGGCTCCTTCCACAGCCCTCAGGGGGAACCACTGCTACCTGGCTGCATGATCATACATTTGGGTTAATTTGAAAGTTACATATTTGTTTCTTTTTCTTTCCCTCAACTCAGATTTCAAGCCCCACAAAACCCAGACCCACTGTTGTGCAGGGTGTTCTGGACGTGGAGGGGATGGTGTGTTCTGTGTCTCCTCCATACACAGCGGCTGGGAGGGTCTCTGATGGGTGGAGGGGCTGGCAGGATGGCTCCACCCCTGGAGGCCCTCCACCCCTCCTGGGTGGCTGTGCCCGCTGGCCTTGGTTCAGACCTCAGCAAGGTGTCTTTCCTTCCCCGGCACCTTCCTTTCCATCCCCCAGCCTCCTGATATGGTGTGTCTAGTTCCCACACAATGCCTCTGCCTGCGGTTTTCAGATCTGAGACTGCTAGGAGCTGAGTGGTGGGAAGTAGCAGGAGTGGCTTCATTGGGGGTGTGGGTGAGAACAGCAGGAGCTGATCAAATGCTCCAGAGAAGTAAGTGAACTGTGGAGACGGCCAAGGCCTCTACCCTTGCTGACCTTTGAGAAAGCACATCGCCACCTTCCTGGACTGGACATTGAGGAAAGGTCGGGGTTTGTGGGTGGGACTGGAGGGCAGCTGTTCCTGTGGGTATGGGAGGGGAGTGGGACTGTGATGGGAAGAAGTCAAAAAGACCTCTCAGAATTCCCATGCAGAGAGGTAGTGGGGTGCAGAGAGGTAGTGGGGTGCAGAGCATGCGTATGTGTGTATGAGATAGAGATTGACAACAAATAGTCATGAGGCTGGCCTCTTATATTCTAAGAGGCCAGAAAGAGAAGGGGTCTCTCCAGGTGGGCACTTTGGGGGAAGCATGGGGTGCTGGGAGCGGGAGGCAGGGAGAACAGCAGAAGCCGCAATCACAGCGGTGGACACGGGGAGGCTCTCCTGCAACAGCCTGCACTTCCTACTGGAGGGTCAGCCTTGGTACCACATCCTTGCAGATTCCTGCTATGTTACCTGTACAACATCAGCCCTGTGATGCTGCTTGGATGTTGCGTAGAGGAGGGGGCTGTGGTCTAGGTCAGCGTCCTTGTTTTATACATGAGGAAACGGCACAGAGGTGAAAAGACCACACGGCTTTCAGATCAAACTGATCTGAGACTCAGTTTGCAAGCTGTTTGTTACATTTGAACTTCTCAGCAACACAATAATTATTCTTAATAAATTCAGTTCTGTATTTTGATTTTTTAGTCAAGATTATGATAGGATGGGGACCTCCCTGGTGGTACAGTTGTTAAGAATCTGCCTGCCAACACAGGGGACATGGATTTGATCCCTGATTCAGGAAGATTCCACATGCCTCTGAGCAACTAAGCCTGCATGTCATAACTACTGAGCCTGTGCTCTGCAACAAGAGAAGCCTTCGCAATGAGAAGCCCATGTGCTGCAATGAAGAGTAACTGCCCACTCACTGCAACTAAAGAAAGCCCACAGCACACACAGCAACAAAGACCTAGCATAGCCAGAAACAGAAAATTATAATGTTCTTTTTAAAATTTTGGAGTATAGTTACAGAGGAACCATGGATCAAATTGCCAACATCTGTTAGATAACAGAAAAAGCAAGAGAATTCCAGAAGAGCATCTACTTCTGCTTCATTGACTATGCTAAAGCCTTTGACTGTGTGGATCACAACAAACTGGACAATTCTTAAAGAGATGGGAGTATTTACCTGCCTCCTGAGAAACCTGTATGGAGGTCAGGAAGCAACAGTTAGAACCAGGCATGGAACAACAGACTGGTTCCAAATTGGGAAAGGAGTATGTCAAGGCTATATATTGTTACCCTGCTTATTTAACTTATATGCAGAGTAGTACATCATGTGAAATGCTGGGCTGGATGAATCACAAGCTGGAATCAAGGTTGCCGGGAGAAATACCAATAACCTCAGATGTGCAGATGACACAGCCTTATGGCAGAAAGTGAAGAGGAATTAAGTGCCTCTTAATGAAGGTGAAAGAAGAGTGAAAAAGCTGGCTTAAAACTCAACATTCAAAAAAAAAATAGGATCATGGCATCTGGGCCCATTACTTCATGGCAAATAGATGGGAGAAAATGGAAAGAAACAGTGGCAGACTATTTTTTTGGACTCCAAAATCACTGCAGATGGTGATTACAGCCATGAAATTAAAAGAAGCTTGCTCCTTGGAAGAAAAGCTATGACAAATCTAGACAGCATATTAAAAAGCAGAGACATGACTTTGCCAACAAAGGTCTGTATAGTCAAAGCTACAGTTTTTCCAGTAGTCATGTATGGATGTGAGAGTTGGACCATAAAGAAAACTAAGCACTGAAGAATTGATGCTTTTGAACTGTGATGTTGGAGAAGACGCTTGAGAGTCCCTTGGGCTGCAAGGAGATCCAAACAGTCCATCCTAAAGGAAATCAGTCCTGAATATTCATTGGAAGCACTGATGCTGAAGCTCCAATACTTTGGCCACCTGATGAGAAGAGCTGACTCATTTGAAAAGACCCTGATGCTGGGAGAGATTGAAGGCAGGAGAAGAAGGGGACGACAGAGGATGAGATGGTTGGATGGCATCACCAACTCAATGGGTATGAGTTTGAGCAAGCTCTGGGAGATGGTGAAGGACAGGGAAGCCTGGTGTGCTGCAGTCCATGGTGTGGCAAAGAGACTCAACAGTGTGACTGATCAGCAACAGTAGTTGCTTTACAATGTTGTGTTAGTTTCTAATGTACAGCAAAGTTAATCAGCTACATGTATACATAGAACCTCTCCCTTTTGAACTTCCTCTCCATTCAGGTCACCACAGAGCATTAAGATAGGATGTTCTTTAAAGGAAAAAGTACATTGTGGCCTCTATCACTTTTCTGTGCATTGAAACTTAAAATGTTGGTAGTACTCTACCTAGAAAAATCAAAACATTGTAAAGCTTTTGAACCACTTTTAAAGTTGAGCTTCTGGTGAACATTATTCTCTTAAGTTAAACATCACAATGCACCAGACACTGAAAAGACCCCCATACTCGGGCCATCAGGACCACTTAACTTGAGCATCTGTGTGTCCCCTACCCTATCAATGCCTTCCATCCTGAGGCTAGACCTTCTTCTAAAACCCCAAGTTCTCAGTCATTTTGACCAAACTATGTTTTAACTCATTTAGCAGCGGTTGTTTATTGAGAGGACGATCTGTTCTTTAGACACCATTAGCAAAGTCAAAACTAAGTGCAACACACATTTATTAAGCATTTAGGAAATGTTACATAAATGGCCACTTTTATATTCATAGGCCAGGCACACTTTCAACTGCTTCAGTGATGTTTTAACAAAAAATCCACGTTTCCACACGAGGATTTTCTTTGGATGAGAGGGTGTCATCAGCGAGAGACGATTCTGATGTAGACGCCATTTTTTGGACCTAGGGCAGATTTGGATTCTAGCTGCAGTGGTACCTAAAATAGAGGAAATTAAGGTATCTGTCAGAATTAATCCTATTGATAAGAAAGTACCCTGGGAATGGGCCTGAGGCAGGTTGTGGGGATTGGGTTGAGGGCTGAGGGAGGGCAGGGCTGAGAGTGAGCAACGTGGCCTCCCCAGGGGGACTCTGAGAGGCCGCAGAGTTGTGTCTTGAGCCTGGTGTTGGACAGGGACTCACCCCTTTCCTGTGTTAATAACATCCCGCAGAGGAAAGTGAAAGTGAAAGTTGCTCAGTTGTGTCTGACTCATTGCAACCCCATGGACTGTAGCCTGCCAGGCTCCTGTGTCTATGGAGTTCTCCAGGCCAGAATATTGAAGTGGGTAGCCTTTCCTTTCTCCAGAGGATCTTCCCAACCTAGGGATTGAACCTAGGTCTTGCACCTTGCAGGTGAATTCTTTACCAACTGAGCCGCCAGGGAGGTCCCAAAATACCAGAGTGGGTAGCCTGTACCTCCTCAGGGTAGTTTCCTGACCTAGGACTCAGACCCAGGTCTCCTCCATTGCAGGTAGATTCTTTACCAGCTGAGCTACCAGGGAATCTCACAGGGGAGAGGTCCCCCAGAGACCCTAACAAGCCTGCTTGTAAGGTGGGAGCAGAGCACTGCAGATGAAAAAATACAGGCTCAGAGAGGCCACCCGACCTGCCCAAGGGCACAGAGTGCCAAGTGGTGAATGAAACCTCAGCCCTTCCTCATCTACTCATCTCTCGCCCTGGGGCCCAGCCAGAAACTGAGTAGCCCCCTCTCCCTTTCTCAGGGGCTTGGGGAGGGCTCCCTGCTTAAAGTCCGCTGCCATTCAGAAGGCTTTCCTTATGTCCAACTTGGGCAGATGGATGGTGGGATGGAGAAGAGGAAGAAAAGCCACAGAATTACTCGAGAAGCAAGGTATCCTCTACAGGTGCATGTGAAAGGACTGTTCAGTGGCTACCATGGAACCTCCAAGGAGAGAAGTGCCACCAGGCCTAAGTGCTGGGGGCAGGCAGGCTTTCCAGTTGACGTCTGAGTCCTGATGGAAGACCAGTTATAGGTTCAAAAAACAAGACGATCTAGACTTGTCCTATCCCCTGTGGCAGCCACTAGTGAAAGTGGGCGCTGGGTTCTTGAAGTGTGGTTAATGCAAATGAGGAGCTGAATTTTTAATTGTATTGATTTATTACTAACATAAATAGCCACATGTGGCTAGTGGCTGTAACACCAGACAGTGCAGGTATAGGCACACTTGAAACAGGACTTCAAAAAAAGTAGTCTGCTGTGGCTGGCAAAGTCGTCAAGAAGGGCTTCCTGGAGGAACTGGCACCTGGGGTGGGGTAGGAATGGGAGATGCCCTATGAGCAGGACTTTTCCGGGCCACTTTGGGGTCTGAGGGAACACCAATTTGGATTTGGAGGGTGGGATTAGACGGGGTGGGGAAGGGAGAGGGGTGGAATTCCAGAAAGGGAAGTGGCCTGAGCAGGCAGGAGGTGCAGGTGGAAGGCTCTTGGAATAGGAAGTTGGGATGCAGTGAGCACCCCTGCGCCCAGAGCAGTGTGCGGGGCTCACCTGGGTCTCGGGACAGGCTTCGAACCGGAACTTGCGCAGGACGTGGAGCAGCGTCAGCTTGAGCTCCAGGAGCCCCAGCCGCACCCCGAGGCAGCTCCGGGGGCCCGCCCCAAATGGCAGGTACGTGTAGGGCCGCCGTCGCTCCTGCGCCTCGGCCGTGAACCTGCAGGGCGGTTCAGTCAGGGTGGGCTTGGAACCCCGCCACCCTTTACAGGGCTTCACGCTCCTCCTACCAGGCAGGTGGGGCCTCAACCCTCCACCCTCTGCCCCCCGGGGTCTGCAGGATCGTTTTCTGCTGGACCCGTCAGTCCCCAAGGCTCCGGAGCAGGTGGCCGCCCGTTCACACGCTTCAGTCCAGGCTCCCCTCCTCCCGTCCTGCCCAAGCCCTCCAAGCACTGTTGAATTCCTCCAAGCACTGTTGAATTCAAAGAATCACCGGGAATGTCCCCTTTGCCCTCTCTGCCTCTTCTTATGAATTCACTGTGTGGTTAACATGCCTGCAGACTCACTAGAATCCTTGGGTGAAAGTCTCCAAGAAACCACAGCCCTCCCTTCACCCATGGCTCCAGTTTCTTCAGCAGCCAGAGTGTCACCCTCTGGCATCCACTTCCTAAGCAGAGTCCCTGGGCACCAGCCCCCTCTGACAGCCGTGTCCTACCAGTTTGTCTCTTGATGCCATGATGGGAGCTGTCTCCCTGCCCACATTTGCCTTTCTGGTTCAAGAATACAACTTGAACCTCTGGGGGTGGCAGTATTTGACTCACTGGAAGCTCTTCTTCAGCTCCAAATGACATTTGCCACATGTGTTCTGTGACAGTAACGCTCGGTGACAACCACTATTTTGTAATAGTAGCCAGCTCACTTATTACTGCCTCTGAACCTCATGGGCCCAAGAAGCCCTTGGCCCACCTTTTCAACATCTTGTTAAGGCACTTTTGTTTTCAAGTGAAGTCGCTCAGTTATGTCTGACTCCTTGCGACCCCATGGACTGTAGCCTGCCAGGCTCCTTCGTCCATGGAATTCTCCAGACAAGGATACTGGAGTGGATTGCCATTTCCTTCTCCAGGGGATCTTCCCGACCCAGGGATCGAACTCAGGTCTCCCGCACTGTGGGCGGGACTCTTTACTGCCTGAGCCACCAGGGAAGCCCTTTTTGTTTCAAGGCCATTTGTTTTCAAAGGTGATGCTATAAACCCTGCAGCTGCAGTTTGCATGTCTGGATCTCTACCGTAATTCTAGGAGCTGCTGAGCAGCACAGTGTTACTTATCTGGGTCCCACTGCCCATGGTTTCCCAGGGACCAGGGTTGTAGAGTCAGGGCTGCATTAACAGGAAGATGCAGCCACTAACGGTGGAAACACAGCTGCCAGCTGGCCAGCCCCCCACTTGCCAGATCAACCAGGAAGCGGCATGCATCCACTCTCATGAGGAGGAAGTGTGGATGCCTGCTCAGACATTTTAAATTGGGAGTTTGGAAATGAAATTTAGACAATGGACCAAATCCATGCCGGGGACAGAAGGGGGCATTCAGGTCTACCATGTTAGCAGAGCCGGGCTTCATGAATTCCTGAAGAAATTGTTGATACTCTTGTTTTGGAACAGGCACTCATTTTTTTTAAAAGGAAGTGATATCCTGCTACATCTTAACACGTTTCTGAAAGGTGTCCTGTTTCTCAGTGTGAACAGACAGTGGACACCCATCTGAGAGTGCCTTGTTACTTGCATGCAGTGCTGTGGAGATGGCTAAACCTCTGGATTGGGTTTTGATCTCTTCAAAAATGGTACGCTTAGTTCCTTTAGAAATTATGCCTCAAAAACTTCTCTCTGGTTGCCGCAGCTTTTGACTTTGGGGGCACTTCATGAAATCTGTGTCTCCTGGCAGCTGTCTCCAATCCTCACACTCACTCCCCCCGCCAGCCCTTTAGAGGGGGCAGTACTCACCTTTCGGGGTCGAAGTTCTCGGGGTTCGGCCAGTGTTTGGGGTCGTAGTGCAGGGCGCCCACGGCTGTCTCCAGCACGGCTCCTGCGGGGACGCGCTGGCCCAGCACCTCGCAGTCCTGTGCTGCCACCCGCGTGAACCTGTGGGACGCACGGGTCAGCCCCGCCTTGAGGCAGAGCGGAGACGAGCTGGAGAGCCTGGGGGCAGCCGTGCTGGGGCCCAGGTCTGCAGTGTGGGAGGGGGCTGGTGTATGTGACCTGGACAGGGACCAATCCTCACCCCAGCCCCACCCCCACTTTGGCTATTAACCCTACATTGCCTGGGACCCGGGGGTCTCTAGGTTCATCCATCCCTTCCTTCAGCTTGAAGAACCTGTCTTATGCCTGGTGTTGGGGTGCACGAGAGCCTTGGCATTGGAAGCTGTGCAGGGATCGTCCCTCGGCCACCATGCCATCTTCTTCCTATTCCCATTAGGGCCACACACTTGCTTTACCTACAGGAAATTTGGGTTTGCACATCTGTTCCCCTTCATTGTGTGGCTATGGAGAACTTCTACTGGAGAGGAAAGCATCTTGATCAGATTGTTTCTTTCACCAAAGGACAATGGCTTACTTCCATTCATGTCTTATTTGAAAAGGCTAGACTATATGTGTCTGCCTATGAACATAATGTTTACGGAAGAATACCTAAACTTCTCCCATGACCTCCCGTAAGGGGTGGCGCTGGGGCGGAGGATGGTGGGGGACCAGGGGGGCCGACTTTTTCTTTGTATCCTTCTGTATTTCTTCATTCTTTTTTTAAGTATAAGCAATTTTATTTTGATAATATGAATAATTACTTTAAAAATTAAAAATAATTTATGCTGGCTTTTACTTCAGGTTGCAGAACTAGGTTTCCCTAAATATCTCAGAGGAGATAAAGTTATTACACAAACCACTGTTGTACCATGTTCCTGCTTATAAAAGAAATGAAGAGTAACGCGTGGCTCCTTGCTGCATTTGTCACTGTTATGAGCCTTCACTATATCAGGAACGTGAAAGGTCAGGGCTGTGAGACTCCCATTCAGAGCCTAACCAACAAATGCAATTATCGCGTGCTTGGAACTGGTCACAAAACACTCTTGCTCTAATCAGAGCAGGCGAGGGCTCTGATGTGTGCACCCTCAGTCCTGGGGGAGCAGATAAGGATATACCCTAACCTCCTTCCTTTTCAGTTACCAGAAATAGCTTGGATCTAGAGGCAAGAACCCCTAAAAGCCAGAAAACGGGGCCTTCCCTTCTGTACATCATCGGACCTCCTATCTGGCTAGACTAGGCCGCAGTTTTTGTTTGTTCAGTTGCTAGGTCATGTCCAACTCTGCGACCCCAAGAACTGCAGCACGCCAGGCTTCCCTGTCCTTTCCTATCTCTTGGAGTTTGCTCAAACTCATGTCCATTGAGTCAGTGATGCCATTCAACCCTCTCATCCTCTGTTGCCCCCTTCTACTCCTGCCCTTAGTCTTTCCCAGCATCAGGGTCTTTTCCAATGAGTTGACTCTTCATATCAGGTGGCCAAAATATTGGTGCTGCATACCAGGCCAGAATCTGCTGAATTATACTGCATAGATTCCTGGATTGACATTAATTAATTCTTCAAAAAGAATTGTTACATTTTCCACAAAGGCAATTTTGAGGGTTTTTTCTTTTAGGAATAAGGGTATCAGTCAAATGTGTCAGTGCTTGGGAAAAGTCAAGCATTTTTCTGAGATGAAAATAATAAAGTAAAAAAATTAAAAAGCAAAATTCTATGTTCACCCTCAAACCCTATGCCTGGGCTAAAGCAAATGGGCCTCTTGTCTGCCTCTCTCACTTCTGCTGTTTGATGACAGAAGTCCATAGAGTGACTGGGTTTAAGCCGCCAGAGGAGTAGGTCTGGAGGAAGGGAGGCCATGGCTTGCCTGAGACTGGGACTGGACTGGGTGCAGGCCATTCAACTCAAACACTTCTTGCTCTTTACTTCATACCTCGCACGACACGCTGCCTGTGGGATACCGTGTTTCCACGGCTGCTGTCTCACTGATCCTCCCAACACTTCCAGAGTAGGCAGAGCAGGTGTTGTGTACCCTCTAAAGGCACAGGAAACAGAAGCCCAGAACAGCCCGGAACTTACCCAGGATCACACAATAAACTAATGGCAGGACTGAGACTGTCTTGACTTTCCGTCCAGACTGGCTCTGTCATTAGGGAAGCCTGGATCTATTTTTTTTAATATAGTGGGAATTTTAACAAATCCATCTAGATACTCGGTTCTGTCCTGCCCTCAGGTGAGATCGCAGCATCCTGGTTCCCCAGAACAATGCCTTCACTGACTTCCTTTTACACTTTGCTGCTTATAAAGGATCAGGAGGAGAATTGCCTGAAGAATTTTAGTGCTGAAGAGACTGTGGACTTTGTTGCTCAACATGTCATCTATGCAAGGTCTCATGTGATGAATGCTTGATTGACTTTAGATCCAGGAAATGATGTGTCTTTGATCAGTCTACACTTTCCTCCCAATAGAGAACAGGATGGTTCAACTCAACCAGTTTTCCTCTCTCCTGGGAGCCTCAGCCACCAAGCCTGACCCCAGTTGTCACCATCTCTGGGGTCCCATCATGGATTCTTTCCTCTGAACAGTCTTTGATCTGTTATATCACTGAATGTCTTATTTTGAATTTCATGTGTATAGCAGCTGCCCACAGTTCCCTTGGAAGGAAGTTGGTATAAATCATTAAAAAATGAAAACAAAAACAAAAAATAGACCAGATGACAGTTTGCTCTGAGGCTCCCAAGGAAGTCAGGTAAGGCCTATGAAATTGGGTCTTTTATTTTTTTGGCCACGCAGCATGCAGAATGTTAGCTTCCCAACAAGCGCTCGAACCCTTGCCCCCTGCAGTGGAATCGCAGAGTCTTAACCATTGGACCACCAGGGAAGTCCCAGGATCAGGTCTTAATACTAGTGTCAGGAGAGCAACGAGGCGAGCCCTGGCGTTCCTGTCTGCTCCTGGACCAGGAGACTGAAACCATGTGTGCTTGAGAAGGATGTGATTTGACTCACACCCTGGGAATTCTCTCTTGGCTCTGGATCTGAACGTTTTGGACAGTATCTACAATCACACTCTCTAGGATATTTTTGGTTTGGAATATAATTTTGAGATACCTTCACATCATCCACATTTTCTCTTTTTAAAATGGCAAAAGTTACCTCCATATGGTTTATGTGGTACAATGCTTCCTAGAGATGTAGAGTAGAATTTATAAGTTACATGCTTTGGGTTGCCTCTGTTCCTAGAGTCTGAGCTCTAGCAATGTTTCACTCTCTGAGGGTCTGGAGACCCAAGTTAAGACCCTGTGCTCCTTAGGCCGCCTCTGAAACCCAGGGTAGTCCTCAGTTAGATCCATTCAGCTTGCCTTCATTGATGAAGCTCGCTTTAATTGTTGCTACACAACAACCTGCACGTACTGTAAGGGCTAGGCCGCTTCAACCTAAGATGTTTGCCCAAGCTGTTTTTTTTCAGGAACTTGAAGACAGCTGTGTCTAGTTGGAGCTTGAGCAGGTTAAGACTGGTTAACATCGCTGACACTCCAACTGGGCATGCACAAGAGGCTTCTTGCTGACCTTTTGACCTCAGAGGGCTCAAAGCTCTCTTCTGTTTTGACACTAAGGCTGCCATATTCTGAACTTGCTTCCCATGGAGACCCCTATAGCTTCCTTGCACCTGCTTAGAACTACAATTGCTTCACCTTTTTGTCATCTCCAATCATTACCTTTCCCCACACTCCTCAGCTGCTGCTTTATCCCATGAATACCTGGGCCACTTGCCGTGGGGGAGGCAGCTTGGAGATTTGTTCTGACTCCACGCTTGGCTGCCGTGTGAACATGTCTGTTCTCTGCTGCAAACCTCAGCATCTCAGCGCTTGGCTTACTGTGCTTGGGGTGAATGAGCCTGGAATTTGGTAACATCTCATTTAGGGGGAATTTGAAAGAAGCAGAAGACCTGAGTCCTGCTCTCAAGGCATTTACAGGTTGGTGTGGCTGGATGCACGTTGGTGAAATGTTGCAGAGCAGTTGGAAAGTGTCCAAAAATATAATATGAAGTACAGTCAGTGTGCAGAGTTCTGTGGGGGGAGAGAGCTAGTGGGGAACAGGTGAGGCTGGCTGAGTCAGACTTCCTGGAGCGCTAAGTCCTGGGTGGGAGCTCTGAGGATGGGGCGGGGTGCGGATCGTTGGAGAGAATGAAGGAGCATCCCAGGCCTTGGATGCTCCCCTTTGGACTGTCAACTCTAAAGGCAGGTGCTTTATCTCTTTTGGCTGATTTCTCAGAGTGTGGCATAAAGTAGATGCTTAATAAGTAGCCGGTGAATGTATGAATGGACAGGCTGGGGAAAGAACAAAAGTCATCTGAGGCTAGGAGGCCAAAGAGATTGGCTTGGGTTGGGGAGGAAGGTCATGTTAAGAAAACAGCAATGACGCTTTGAAAAGATGGTTAACATACAGGAATACAGGGCAGACATTTACTGCCATAGTGACCATATGTCAGGCATGGTGTCCTGCGCCCCCCAGAGATAACCCCCAATACTCAGACCTTCCCCTCCAGGAGCTTGGGTCCAGCATTCTTCACAATGCAGATGGTGACAGCCTGAAGACCTGGGGTGCAGGCTTACCTGAAAGCTGGCGGGTACATCCTCAAGGTCTCTTTAATCACCATGTCCAAGTAGGGCAGGCCTTCCTGGAGGCTGCGGTACTCAGGGGCCGGCTGATGGAGGGGTGGTGACAGAGGAGGACGCCGAGTTAGATCGAGTCCCACAGCTTCCGGTCTTTCCCACTAACTTTAGAGCTTCAGTGCTCACAAGCGCTTACATGGAAACCCCACAAGATGAAACATGATCCCATCCAAAGAGCATTAGATTAGCACTCCGCAGAACAGTCTACATATTCTATTACTCTGGTTTCACGGTGCTGTGCGTTACTGAAGACCAGCAGGCCTGGGACTGCAGGGCCTCTGGGTGTCAGACGTGTGTGATAAAACAACGGCGGCAGCTGCCCTGCTAGCGATTATTGAGAACGGATGGTGTGGCGGGCTACGTGTTGTACACACTCCCTTATGATAAAAGAAATTTTTTCATATCAAGATATAGGGAAGTCATTCTGGCTTATACATGAGTTCACTTGAATTTTACGCTAACTAAAGTAGCCCCTTTGTGGCCTGTCAAACATACACTGTACAACTGCTTCAATTATTAAAGAAACCAGCACATTGACCAGGAGTAAAGACTGTCTGTGTTAAAAATAAAGATTAAATGCCTGTCTTCCTGGGAAGCCAATGCTGGTTCTCCTTTGATGATAAGACTCCCTTCCCAGGTGCCAAGGCCATGTTGACTTGCTATGTATGAGCTTGTCTTTTTTTTTGAAACCTTGAAGAAATGTAACCCTGACTTGTTTAATGTTCTTTGTTCTGATGAGATATAAAACTGGGCTGAAAACCCTACTTCTCCAGAGCAGTTTCTCAGAGTAATCTGGGAAGCGAGCTTCTGGACTAGTTTGGCTCAAATAAAACTCTTTTCTATTCTTATTAGTGATTGTTTATTATTTTTGTTGACACTTATCCTCTAGCAAATATCAGGGAGGTTGCCACAGGGTAGTAATGTGCACATCATAAAGTTAAAAGACAAATAGTAAAATAGCAAAACAAAAACAACTGCTGCATCTAGAAAGGATCAGTGGTAACAAAAACTGGAAAAGAAAGAAAGATAGTGCTAAGTCATGTCCGACTTGTGACCTATGGACTGTATGTAGCCTGCCGGGCTCCTCTGTTCTTGGGATTTTCCAAGCCAGAATACGGGAGTGGGTTGCCATTTCCTTCTCCAGGCAATCTTCCCATCCCAGGAATCAAACCCAGGTCTCCAGCATTGCAGGCAGATTCTTTACCAACTGAGCTATGCGGAAAGCCCCAAAACTCCAAGAGCTACAGTAAATCAGTAAGAAAGGAAACTCTCCAGAAAAGTGGTCAAGAGAAATGAAGAGGCAACAAGTATGAGTTCCCTTGATGAAAAATACAAACTGATAGCATGGGATTCGGTTTTCATTCATCAGATTAGAAAAAGCTGGAAAATATTGATCAGGGCAAAGGTGTGGAGAAGCACAATTCCAGCACCCAGTGCTGGGGAGCCCTAACACCCCCCGGGTGACTTCCTTGGGGTGACACTGTCACTCTGCCGTCACCCCATGATACGAGGAAGGGGTGATAGTGAATTGGTGGGATGTCGAGAGGCTAGGTGTGGGCACCCCAGTGGGTGGGATGAGTTAGTGCAGGGTTATAGAAGTTTATTAGCTGCTCTGCTGATTGAAGGATATTTTCCCCTCCCATTTCTCCCATCCTGTGTCTCCACTCCCTTCAGCGCTCGAGTGAAGTTACCTGCTTGATGACAGTTTCATCTTTTTAAATCAGTTGTGGGAATGCTTAGTAGCTAAGTTGTGTCCGACTCTGTGTCAGACTCTTTGTGACCCCATGGACTGTATCTCATCAGACTCCTCTATCCATGGGGATACTGGAGTGTGTTACCATTTCCTCCTCCAGGGGATCTTCCTGACACAGGGATCAAACCCACATATCCCTGCATTGGCAGGTGGGTTCTTTACCACTAGTGCCACCTGGGAAGTCATAAATCAGTTAATGATGTTCAAAGAGAAGTCTTCAGTTTGGGAGGTCGGCTTGCTTCTGTCTTCTCCTCTCAGGACAGCAGGGGGCAACACTTGGGGCAAGTCCGTTCTGCAGGCCCCATCTACCCCTGGGAGCTGCTCACAAGCCTGCAGCGGCCGCCTTGCATGGGATCTAAACCAACGACTGTAACAGAGAACTCCCTGGATCAGCAACATCAGGGTTGCCTTAGAAACGCCTATCCTTGGGCAGCGTCACACACCAGGACAGAACTGAAACTCTAAGGTAGGGCCAATAGGCTGTCCCCATGGGGGAGGGGACTACGCTGGCAGGAGCAGATGCACAGGTCCGGGTGGGAGGTGCTTCGTGTGTGAGGGGCAGACAGGCAGCGGGGAGAGTGATGGGCCAGAACGCGTGGAGTTCTGAAGTCCATGGTAAATACCTTAGCTAATCTGTTAGAGTATAACGTTCAATATAATGTAGCCATTGGTGCATAAAATACGGCTGAGTGAAAAATGTCACTGGTGACTGAGATGCTAAAGAATCTGTCTGCAACAAGGGGGACCTGAGTTGGATCCCTGGGTCGGGAAGATCCCCTGGAGAAGAGAATAGCAACCCACTCCACTAATCTTGCCTGGTGAATTCCATGGACAGAGGCCTGGCAGGCTACAGTCCACAGGATCACAAAGAGTTGGACACGACTGAGTGACTAACACACACACACACACACACAAAGTCAAGTTGCTCACGTGCAGCCTAATGTTTACAAATTTGAAAGGCCAAAATGAAAACAGTTGGCTTTCCCAACATTCTCCGTCTTCATTTCTGGGAACTGTTTCTTTAGAAGGTTATCTCCTGACCCCACGCTTCCACCTCCCTCCCGGGCCACCGGGTCGGCCTGATAAACACGTGACTGGGGAGGGGCTCTAATGCTTGGGGTTTAATGCTCTGTGGTTGCCCAGTGGAGATTCTTCTTTTTTTTTCAAAATTTTTATTGAATCTGTCACAATACTGTTTCTATTTTATATATATATATATTTTTTTTTTTTTTTGGCTGTTGAGGCATGTGGGATCTTAGCTTCCAGACCAGGGATGGAACCCACACCCCCTGCGTTGGAGGGCGAAGTCTTAACCCTGGACTGCTAGGGGAGTCCCCTGTGGAGATTCTTAATCGTCCTATCTTTGAATTTGTGTTTAGGGAGCAGAGTCTGAGGGGACACTAGGGTGTGCACTGGGGCTTGGAGCCTCACCCATGAGGGCTGCCACCTTGGCTTCTTCCCCAGGGCGGATTCTCAGCTGCCTGCTCTCCTGCCCCTGGTGCTCTGGGCCCAGCCTGGCCACCCCTCTCTGCTTCCCCTTTGACCACCATTGCCCTCCATTCCTCAGGGGCCGAGGCTCAGGTGTGGAGAAGGTAGGCATGGGACGCATTCAGCCTGCAGCATCTTGGAGTGGGCATGGTGTTGGCCGTCGCTGCCCTGGGCAGGCAGCCCTGTGGCTGTGTGTCGGCCTGGGCAAGCTCTGCCCACCCCTGGTCTCATACTGCATGTCTCCTGGCACACAAGTTTAAAGACCTTTGGGGAGTCACAGCCTATTGTGGGTTTGGGGACTGGATCTGGGGAGGGGGGACACCTGGCTCATCTTCTCTAGACCCTGCCTTGGCGTCTAGGGGCACCATTATGTAGGTGGGCTTGGTGGCTGGAAGGGGGGCAGAGGTCCCAGGCCCTTGACTCTCCCAGCTCATCCTGTGCCCCCACACTCTGGGGGAACCTGGCGCACCCCCTCATCTTCCTTCCAATCTTGAGTTTGGTTTATCCTTATTTCTTCTGGCCCATGAGTCACAAAATACTAGTTATGTAATTTCAGTGGTTCTGCATGTGAGTTAAATGCTCCGATATTACCATTTAAAAGTGGCATTGCATGATCCAGAGATGAGTGGTAAAATTCACACTGATAATTTAAAATTTAGAGTTTTCTTTACTTAGACTGGTGTTAAATAGAAAATAAAAAACACTGTGATAATTTGAGAGATGGGAGAAGAAAGGAAGAGCCTTTCTATGTACTGTTAATGGCACTTTCCCTTGCTTTTTTCCACTTGGCATCAGGTTGGACAAATTACATAGTCAGCCCTGCAGGCCACAGTTGACTGGCTCACGAGTGGGGCTCTGACGTGAAAGCATCAGACTAGACATTTGGACCTAGGCAGAAGGAGAAGGAGTTTTTCTCCAGCAGCCGGAAGCTGAACACAGGTGAGTCATGATCTGTTGGTGGACATGTTCCACCTTGTGGACTAATGAGCAGTAAACACGTTTGCCATGAGAAAGAAGCAAAGAATTAGATGTGCGGAGAACCAGAGGCAAAGGACAGAGTCCATTTCCTGTGTCCTGTTTGCCAGCTGCTCCTGGCAAGGAGCACTGCGGGTGGCGTCTCAGTACCCTTCCAGCAAGTTCTCATTTTTGACCTAACTTAGTGACAGCCGAATTCTGTTATCTGCAACCAAAGGAGTCTTAACAAATGCAGACATGTAAAAAGCCAGAACAGAACAGTGGTACTGTTCACCCAAATATAGAACTATATCTCAAAAAAGAAAAGGAAGCCAGATCTAGGAGTAGCATCCCTAACAAGTCCATAGTATTGGTTCCTCAAACAAAAGTGTCTGGCCAGAAGCTGTCAGCACTTGGGAGGGAACTTTTTAAGGTAGGCCAAGGGTAATTTGTATTGTGAAGTCAAGTCTTCATTTATTCTTTTCCCCGTTGAGCCTTTTTTTTTTTTTTTTTAAATCACTACTTCTTAACCTTGGACTCAAGATGCATACCAACATAAACGCGTTGGCCCAGCAGTTCTTGATGTGCTTGAATGTTAGATGCGGCCAGGGGGCTTTAAGTACTTTTAGTATATAAGGGTGCTTGATCCCTGGTCCCTCAGGGGATTGACTGTTGGTCCAGGGTGGGGCCTGGATGCTGGTTTTGTGCAGCCAGTGGGGGTGAAACCGCTGCCGACTGTCTGTCTGACCTGCCCTAGTGATCTTTTCTGCATGGATGTATGGATGTGGTTGCGGGTGGCGGTGCTCAGGTCTCAGCGTTTTAACCAAACCCAGGCAA